GCACTGCTGGCGGCTAGCTGGTTGGCGCTGCTGACGGCGAGCTGGCTGGCGCGGCTGGCAGCAGGCTGGCTAACACGCTGGCAGGCTGGCTGGCGCGCTGGCTGACGACGAGCTGGCTAGCGAGCGAGTTGGCTGGCGAGCGAGTTGGCTGGCGAGCGCGCTGGCTGGCTTGCTGGCTTACGAAACGAGCAGTACGCTGGTGGGGGAGGGGGGGGCTACGGGCTCAAAATTTAAGAGTGTGAGAGGTGCTAAAACAAAAGGTACAGTATATGGGCGGAATTGTGGCGAACCTAGACCTAGCTCTAATGGCATGTTGGAAAGGCGCAGAAAAGGTGAACTAGGAAGAGGGGAGGGGAAATACAAGTACAACAAGTTGTCCCCTCTAAGAGTTGACCTAGCTAGGTTATACAAACATACTAAACCTAACTATATATAATTATATGTTTGTTGACGTGTTAAGCCACCATCCCTAAAGTAGGGCACCCTGTCAGAACTCAATCACTAACCACTAAGCTAAAAGGGTGTATTACGTTGCGGGTCAGTGCGCCCACAACCCCCCATGCAAACGGGCCTGTAGCCCTTCCTCGTGGATCTCAAAGGCAACCCCAGCGGGTCTTTTGACACAACCAACCAACCAAACTTGTCGGTTTACGTGCTTCTAAGGCAAGGAAAACGCTTGTGATGGAGCCTCTAAATGAGTCGGATCCCAGCTGTCTTGGCTCCATATGACCACAATGGTCACTTCCTCTCATGGGAGAGCGTTTTGTGAAGGGTATGAGTAAACATTACATGGGCTGAGTGTGTCTGGCATGCAGACAACCCCCATGCATTCAGCCCCCCATGCAGACAACCCTCCATGCGTACAACCTTCCATGCATACAAACCCCCATGCATACAACCCCCCATGAGTAAAACCCCTCAAGTGTACAGCCCCCCATGAGCCCAATGCATACACCCCCTGATGCTTAACCCCCCTCCCCACCCCCCCCCTCACAACGCATGCATCCCCATGCATACATCCACCATTTCTTCGTTCCCGACGTGCATTTGAATCGATTCACAACATGCTATGATCTGACATACGACACCAATGCGCCCGCCACCTTTCTCTCACTCTCCCTCTTCCCCCATCTCTTCCCCCCCAGGATGAGGAAATCAACCAATTCTTTGAGCTGTGACAAGGGGGGGACGACATGGGGAAAGGGATTCTGCCGCTTTTGTTGCTTCGGATGTCTCAGGCTCAAACTCTCCCACTACTGTTGCTACTGCCGCCACAGTTACTGCTCCCCATGTTGCCTCTCCTGCTGCTGCTGCACCGCCTGAGTCCTCCCCATTCGATCGCACACCCCTGACTCTGTCACAATGCGCAGCCGTAGACTCAAGTCAGAGTCAAAGGGGGATGGGGACACAGAGAGAGGGGGCACTGGATTGGAGGAAAGGGCAGCACGATCAGGGTAAGAGGCAGGGGTAGGGGCAGGGGAGGCAGGAGGGAGCACCAATGGACGAAGCCGAGGGAGGGGGGGGGGGGGGGTAGGGGGCTTCCGGTTGAAAGGGAGCAAGAAGTCGGAGAAGAATTCTGCCTTTTCCTTCTCCTCGCCATCTCTAGTCAGTCTCCTCGGGTCAGCCTTGGAAGGGGCTATGGGCAGCCCAAGGAAAAGCAGCATGAGCCACAGCAACAATGGTGGGCAGGGAGAAGCGAAGCTTTGCTCTCCGAGTGTTGGCAATGCTGCTTTTTTTCTTGGGAGCGGAGAATGGAGGCAGGAGGCAAAAAGAGAGTAATGGAGGCGGGGCAGGTGCGAGGTTGCTCGTACGAATCATAGGGTTTTCCAATCTGTTGAGCTTTTAAGTAATTCTAGGATGGTAAGCATTTCGGACGAGTCTGGGTTTTCTACTAAAGAGAGCTTGTCAAGGCTTCTGACTGTTCTGAATTCAGAGGAGGATGGCCATGGAGAAGATATTAGTTACAAGAGCAGCAGGGAATATTATCCAATTGTTGATCTCAATGCTCATTCCTACTTTTTGTGTGGTGTGGCATGATAATCATTTGCAACCACTTATGATGTCTACGCACCTCCTTCTACTATCCATTTGATGAGCTCGTCAATCTTTTCCCCCTCTGGCTGCCATGACGATGAAAAGCTATGTCAATTTCCTGCAAAATCCTCTTCACATAGAACTTCTCCCCTCTGAAGGTCACTCCACACCGGTCTAGCCAGAACTTGTGAAACGTGATAGCTGTTATTGTCACTCTTGGAAAGCATGTCCAGGTTTCTTCTCATAGGAAGAGAAGGCCCTCGAAAGATGCCACATTTCTCTTGGGGCTAAGCATGACGGGGGCCCACTTGAGTGCCCCAACCACCAGCTGAATCACTGTGCAGCTGCAGAGGCAGTGCGAGAGTGTCTCCTCTTCCCAACAGTGCAGACACCTCGCCCCTTCCCCCAAGAACTTCAGCCTCTCTCCCACCTGTAGGTTTAGATAGTGGATTCTCAACAGCAAGTCTATAGCCTTAAGCAGAATCACTTATGAGTCCCTTATCTCGTTTGTCCTTGGCCAATCGATCAGTGCGCCCCTCCTTAACTCCCACTTTTCTTGATGTTGCATTTTGAGCAAGGCGAGGGTTGTTCTTTCTCTTAGCCTCCTTAGCGGGGCGACTCCAAATCCGCTTATGAGCGATGCACTTTGAAGTCTTGTCTCTGGTGCCCCTAGTACCCTCGGTACTTTCACTCTATGTATTTCCATCAGTGTTACATCGGAGCATGACAACTACACTTCCCTAGGGTCCTCCCTTCCTACTAGCATGCCTTGCCTATCTACATCTATTCTTCTGCATTTTAACTGTCCATTTCTTTCCTACACAATCTCCTATAGTCATCTTGTACCTTGTGGATAACCTTCCATTCTCACGATCATTGGGGCCTTTATAATTTCCTCTGCTTCGTGCCGCTGTAGCACTCCTTGGTGCTACTGTTGAAAGCTTTCAATGCCATAGATGCTGCTACCTTGCTGCCTTATTCCTTCTCCAGGGTCCACCACTTATTCTGTAATCGAGTGGCATCTATCAGCTTTACTATGAGGTCTCCCAGTTGTGGTCCCTCCAGTTTTTGTGTTTTCTTCTATGAGTTGAAAGGTATTTTCCCTCTTAACAGTATAATCCTATTAAACTATAACTACTCTCATTCCATCTCCCATATCAGCTTCGTTTCCGCTACCTTGGCCGCTCCTTCATTGATGCATGTTGAGCTAATCTGCTTCCATCTCTTACTGCCTTCCCCCCACTTCTTCAGCAGCTTCGGGTGCACATTCAAGGAGGCCCATCCTAGCAGGAGTCTAGCAACTTATTTCTTCAGCTCCCTCTTTATTGGCCAAAATGTATACCCTCTCCCTCGGCTCTCAGGCCTCCTTGCTTACCTGGTGTGCACATCAGCAGGCTGTTCCATAGAATGAAATGCTTCTCCACAACCATTTTATTCCCCAAGACGAAATTCTCTCCCTACTTCTCTGATGGCGGGTACACTTGTGCTGGAAGAGTAAGATTGGTATTACGTAGTTGTTTAGGATCGTTACGCTTCCCCTCGTCGTGAGATATTTTGACAGCCACGTTGATAACTCCCATTTTCTTTCTCAAAAGCATTCGTCCATGTCAGGTCCGCACTACATCTTGGCAACGTCCATATGCCGAGTAGCCTCACTGCTTTCCCATATTCAACCCACATGTAATTGAGATCCGATGGTGCCTTTTCGTTGGCGTTCTTCCCTGATGGCATTGTTGGAATTGTGGGGGAGGTTTTGGTCCCCACGCCAAGGACCTCCCTTGACTTGGACTAGGGGAGGTGGGTTGCAAGGAAGGAGTGGCGACGGCGGATTTGTCCGCGTCGGCACGCAACCAAGTTTCCCCTTGGTTGGTCCGAAATGTTTTGAGGGCGCCACTTGGCAGCCCCTCAAGCATTGGCGAAAATGAATGGGGTGTAGCGAAAATTGGAAAACTTTCGCTATACAGTCAACTTCGCATAGTTGGAACAAAGTCAATGCGTCACGCGATTAACTTGGACCAAGTCCACATTCGGACTTGGAATCGAGCCGCGGACTAAACAAAAATTTGGACGCAACCCCAAAGTATGAATTTCTGTCGAATCACACGCACTTCGATGTTACAATTACTTGCTTGCTTGCTTGTTTCAAATCCAGAGAGAAACAACTATGTGGTCATTCCATCGAAGTATCTTGTACCTGTCAGAAAATCAGCCACTAACCACTGAGTTAAAAGGGCTTGTTAATAGCGCGTCAATGCGCCCATAGCCCCCCAGGCTCTGCACCTGTGGCCCTTCCCCGAGGATCTTCTCAAGGGTAACCCCAGCGGGTCACTCGACAGTAACTCTATATGATTGACTGGTTCTTCCTCAATTCTTAAGCTTTCGGGCTGATTCCAAGCGCTACGTGTGCGCGATTCCGAGGCCGTCATTTTGATCCTACTCACGCCTCCTAAGACGCCGACCTCTGGTCGTGGCGTACTTACTATAGGGTGGTTTATCTTTCAGGCATCAGGAGGGACTCGTCTCTGTTTGTCTTGATTCCGACTGTTGGCCGAACTCCGTCAGTAGCTCCTCCGCCATATTCGGGTGTTGTTTCCCATTGAGCATTGGCATGTTCACGTGTTTTGTGTTGGCCTGAGTGACTTGCTTCGAACAGGACACTTCGGCTTTTAACGAGGTCCTCGATGTACTCGTTGGAACACTTTCGCCAGAAGTTGCCCCAACACGAAAAGCTTCGCAGGCAAGCGAGTGCAGGTGCCATTCATCGTCGAGTCGCAAACTCGAAGTTCTCTTCCATCGGACACATCCGAGCCGTCCAGTGTGCATGCGCCTCGAAATGCACCCACTCGACATTGCAAATTTCTCACGAAGCCACCCTCATCGCCACCTCCCCCGCCACACCAAATCACCCCACTGCTTGAAGCCAAACCCTAGGCACTAAGATGGTAGTTTCAACCCCACTTTCTGTGACTCTGGTGCACTGCTGGCAATTATCAACCTCCTCCACACCTAGGAGACGCGACTCGAATTCGGTGTTCGTACCTCGGCAGACGCGAGGATGGATGGAAATGTATATAGACTGGCAGATTTGTGATGAAAGCAGCATACAGCATCATACTACCTACCAATCGTTCTTCAGCATCTTCAATTTCCTTGCTTGGGCGCGTTTGACTAACGTTTACTTGCGAAGGCAGGGGTTCGTACGAGTTACTATTAGTGCACTGAAAGAGGAGCGGATGGCTCGTCTCAGCAAGGCTGTGATCCTCCTGGCGCTTCTCGCCCTTGTCGCAGGTAAAGTTCGTTGTTCGGCCCAAACGCTTTGCAGCTCACATAGCACGGTTTGCGTCGGACAATGCTCTGAAAATTTGTCAATTAATGGAGAAATTTTAGGTCGTAACTTCAGATTTCTTTGGCTGCTTGCGTTGATTCAGGCGTTCATGCTCAGGGACCCGGCTATGGCGGAGGCAGGGGCGGCGGAGGGCGTGGCGGAGGGCGGGGATTCGGCGGGGGACGCGGAGGTGGGGGCGGGTTCGGGCGCGGGCCCGGCGCAGGCCTCGGGCTGGGCCCTGGCGCCGCTCTGGGAACGCTCTACGGCCACGTGGAGGCTGTTCTGACTGGCAGCGGCAACATCACTGGACGCATGCAAGTTGTGGTCTTCAAGTGAGTCTACTTGTAAACGACAACTTTTCTAATTCTCTCGCGGCGTGACTTCTGCCCCTCGATTTCCGCTTTTGCGGACTATTGAACTGACGTTGGCCTATGTTCTTACTACTGTCTTTGTCATCACTCATCAGGAACAACACGGACTACAACGTCCGTTACGTGCTGAGGATCGGCGGGCTGCCGACCCCGGGTCTTCCTACCGCTGCTGCAGTCCTGAACAACGGCAACACTATCCTGAATTTCCCAGGTGCCACGTGGACCAACACCACTGGCCAGCAGCCCTACGGCTTTGGCTGGGTGAGGCGCAACCGTGCGTGGGTCCGCGGTGTGTGCTTCCGCTACAACGCGACTGCGGTTTACTACAACGCAAACACAAAGACCACGGATGGCGGCAAGACGATTGGATCTATAGCTGTGGCTATGGTTGCCGCTCCTGCAGCATATACTGGCCGCGTCTCTGCTCCTGGTGGCGCTGCTACTGGCACGTTCCACACTCGGCGTTAGATAAATGGAACGCTAGTGGTGCCCATGACGAGCTGCAGGCGTCGGAGGAAATTTTGCTATAAGCTTCGCACCTTTTTGCCAGAGTCAGATGGAAAGTCAGGAGTGGGTGCGAAGTGAAACTTATTGCGAGAGTTGCGTGATGGCTTGAAATTGGAAGAAGTGCTGGTTGAGATATTTGTGTATTTAGGCTTTCAAGAGCAACTTTACACGAGTGGTAAATCATTTGCTGCATTTGCACATGTACAGTAACCAGTGTTTGATTGGATGTTCTGCGACCAGAAAGCAGGGCAGCTGACCTCCCAAACCAGCTGGTTTACGTGCCTGTAACGGGAGAAAGATGCTTGTGAGGAACTTTACCAGCTGGCTAAAACATTTCTGTCAGTCCTTGTGGGTCCATTTTCGGGTTTCAAATATTACTGTAACCAGGGGAATGGTCGTCGCTTGACTCGTCATCGCTCGCGGAACTCCCTCCTTGCGAATTTCGGACTGGTCGCAGGCCAGAAACGGTTTCGCCTTGGACTTGTCACAAGCCGCTCAGGCATACTAACCGGCAGAATGAGCGGCCGCTCGCGGCAAGTTTCCCAGCTTTGAGTCAAACCACTAACGGGGCCGCGGGGACGATGCTTCCTCTTCGTCTTCAAAATTCTCTCATTTTGAACTCAGCTCGTTGGCATATTTGGCATTTTTTTAGACTGGTCACTGGTGGGAGCAGGAAAGATCCCAGCTGCCAAAAACTATGGGGAGTAGGCTTCTGACTGGTCATTACCCTGACTGCTGTGCTGCGTGCGTGGGCCGTCATGCGCTTTTTGCGGATTAGAGAGCTGGTATTTTTTTAGCTGCGGCTCGTTCCGATGGCGGAAGGCCAGCGCTGGAACAGATTTAGCATCCCTGTTTGCTCATACCACGGTCACTCTGACGCTTTGACTGCTTATCTGCTTGTTCCAAGTTTAGTTCACTATACTTGCGACCATTCTTTTACGAGATACATTCTATCATGGGACTGCTGGCGCCTCGTTTCTCCTTCTGGCTGTTGCTCGTCGTTTACGCGTCCATAGGAGGTGAGAACGAATTCGACTTCCGAAGCACAAAATTAGGTCCTTGGTTGAGAAGTCGTCAGCGCTATTCCGCCAAAAATCCCTATCTGCAATCTTGAAGGACTTGCGTTGACTGGGCTAATGCCTTGTGTGTCCTTTCAGAGGGGCTGCGCGTTCTGGACGATGCCGCTGTTAAGTTAACTGGTCCTCAGACTCGGACAAAGCCACTTAACGCAGGAGAGTCTGCAGCACGAACAAGGCCGGCCCGGTCAAAAAATGCATTCGGAACTTACCAGGGTAAGCGGCACAGGCCATCACCATCAGCCATCAATATCAGCAACTGACGCCATGATGACCGCGACTTATCGTACGGCCATTTCATGCTGATGGCGTGTCAGGCTGAGCCGCTTTCAAAGCGAAGTCGTATCGGAACGTCCTCGTTAGTATCTTTTTCCTCACTGACTTTGAATTCTTCACATGACAGGTCATGTGGGGGCCAGGCTGCAAGGCGTTGACGGTGTCAGAGGTGTGATCCGCGTGGTCGTTTTCCGCAACACCACCAGCGTGAACATCCGCTACTTGCTCCGCCTGGTCGGATTGAACGTCAAGGGCCTTCCAACTGCTGCTGGCATTGTCTCTGCAAAATCCAATGCCCTGGTGGTTAATTTCCCGTCCAAGTCTTGGTCCAATGTGACCAACAGTCCTCCGTTCGACCTTGGCTGGATCAAGCAAGGGAATACCGAGAGGAAGGGCCTGCTGTATAAATACACTTCATCTGGATGGTGCTATAATGCAGGGAGCGTTGCTGCAGAGGGAGGGGTGACTGTTGCTGCTGCTGTGAGGGGACTGATGGCATCTCCATGGTCTTACTATGGAACGATTGTGGCTCCTGGAGGAAGGGCGAATGGAGTATTCACGGTGCAACCACTGGCGGATAAAGTGTCTCATGGCGGCTCATCTTCTTGAACAGTCTACATACATTGTATCTGGTGCACCAACTAGGTGCTGTAGTAGGTACACCCCAGCTTGAGGTTTCACTTCACTGGCCCTGAATTCAGCAGGCTGCTTAGCTCTCAGCATGGAGATGGCACACTAACCTGTGCCACCAATAAGCTTGTATGTATGTATGTACCCATGAGTCTTTCCATTCCAATTTCACGGTGTTCCGACTAATAGGTATATATTCCCAATTAGACATGCCGATACCTCAGGCGACAACAGCAGAGCATGCACTAATGAGCTTATCCAAAGTAACACCACCGAGGTCATCAAAGGCTGTTACAGCCCCAGTGAAATCCTACAGGCACACAAGGAGAATGAAGAGTCGGTGGAGGGGGGTGGGGTTGGTCTCGAAGAAAGGACAGAAGCTCTTCATGAATTGAGCCCCAGGCAGATGCCAATTGTAATGCTATGTGCCTCTACAGGACAATGCATGCCAGCCCAACTGCACCCTAGTGGAGGATGGTACCGTACGTGTGATAACGCACGGCATGCCAGCACCCAGACCAGAGCAGCTTTGAGGCGCCAAAATCATTGCAGAATGCGGCAAAGGAGAGACTGCATAGATCACCCGGCTGCTGTGAAGAAGCACGGTATACTCTGACAGTTTCTGGTGGATGGGGTGTATGTGATGGCACAAGGCAAGCCATCACCCAGAGAATATCTCCTTAAATTTACGTACTAAGTATAAGACAACAACGCTCACCTGGCTCTTAGTAGATGGCGTGTATGTGATGACACACGGCATGCCAGCACCCAGAGCCGCCTGCAGGCCGATCACACTGTCTTCAACCACCAAGCATGACGAGGGGGGGACTCCCAAGCGCTGGCAGCAGGGAGAGGCACAGACAAGAGAGAGTGTTTGCCGGGGGATGTTGGCAGTGTAAGGCAAGCAGCCTGCCGGCCGATCACACTGTTCAACCACCAAGCATGACGAGGGAGGGACTCCCAGGTGCTGAAGGCGGGGAGAGGCACAGACAAGAGAGAGCGTTTGCCGGGGGATGGCAGCAGAGAAAGGTAAGCAGCCTGCCGGCCGATCACACTGCCTTCAACCACCAGGCATGACGAGGGAGGGACCCCTGAACGCTGCAGTAAGAGGAGAAACCCAAATATTGGTAAAACTATCAACTAGGAATGCAAGCACCCAGAGCAGCCTGCAGGCCGATCACACTGTCTTCAACCACCAGGCAAGAGGATGGGAAGGCTCTCGGGCGCAGAAGGCAAAGTGAACATAAGATCCCAGTAGCTGTTCCAAAGTTTTGTGTTCAGGTCAAATAACAAGAGCCATGTGACGCTTCGGGCAAGTGGATTATAAGTTTCGTTACAAGCTCCGCCCACCAGTGCTGCAGGCTTGTATATGGTGGGGTCCAGCTTCCTTTGAGTCAACTCGAAAGTCAGCTTTATTAAAATGATTCATTTCAAGCTAGGCTGACCTCTGCTGCCAATTTGTAAATGGTGGGGTCTGGCTTCTTCTTTGGCACGTCGTCGCCTGATGACAGCCAAGAAGGGAGAGGGGAGGGCAGCAAGAAACGGAAGAGAAAGAGAGGTGGAAGGATAGAGAGGGGTAGCAGAGAAAGCTGTGATGGAACGCAAAAGAGCAATGGCAGGGAAAGGCATATCGCGCCGGGAGATGGTAGGTGGGCAATCCAAGTTTGAAGTACCTATCAGCTTCTGACCGTGTGAGAGGAAGAGACTGAATGGGCATCTAGGAGAGCAGATGAGAGGCGGGCAGCAGAAGAGGCGTACCTGCCAAGAAGCAATCCAGCCGCTCGAACCTCTCCTGGCATATGCACGCAGGGAGGCAGAGGGAGAGCAGGAGGGAGCGCGGTAGGGAGAGAGCATGGAGGCAATCCAAGAGCAGTAGGGCGCACAAGGGAGTTACAAGGGCGCTGACAGTGACACGAGAGCAACAGAGGTGCAGCGGAGAAACCGACACAGCCAAGGAATGGGCAAAGGTCCTGTTAGGCGGATAGGGAGTAGCTTCAACAGATGACACACACCCCACACCAGATAAGGCATTCTCAAGCAGGCCTGTGAGAGTGAAGACGACCAAGCTCTGACCAAGCTCTGACCAAGCTCTGACCAAGCTCTGACCAAGCTCTGACCAAGCTCTGACCAAGCTCTGACCAAGCTCTGACCAAGCTCTGACCAAGCTCTGACCAAGCTCTGACCAAGCTCTGACCAAGCTCTGACCAAGCTCTGACCAAGCTCTGACCAAGCTCTGACCAAGCTCTGACCAAGCTCTGACCAAGCTCTGACCAAGCTCTGACCAAGCTCTGACCAAGCTCTGACCAAGCTCTGACCAAGCTCTGACCAAGCTCTGACCAAGCTCTGACCTCTGACCCAGCTCTGACCAAGCTCTGACCAAGCTCTGACCAAGCTCTGACCCAGCTCTGACCAAGCTCTGACCAAGCTCTGACCAAGCTCTGACCCAGCTCTGACCAAGCTCTGACCAAGCTCTGACCAAGCTCTGACCAAGCTCTGACCAAGCTCTGACCAAGCTCTGACCAAGCTCTGACCAAGCTCTGACCAAGCTCTGACCAAGCTCTGACCAAGCTCTGACCAAGCTCTGACCAAGCTCTGACCAAGCTCTGACCCAGCTCTGACCAAGCTCTGACCAAGCTCTGACCAAGCTCTGACATGCACCATATGAGATCTCGAATGAGCTCGTCTCACTACGGCATACCCGTCTCACTAGGGCATACCCGTCTCACTAGAGAATACCCGTCTCACTAGAGAATACCCGTCTCCCTAGAGAATACCCGTCTCACTAGAGTATACCCGTCTCACTAGAGAATACCCGTCTCACTAGAGAATACCCGTCTCACTAGAGAATACCCGTCTCGCTAGAGAATACCCGTCTCACTAGAGAATACCCGTCTCGCTAGAGAATACCCGTCTCACTAGGGAACGCTCGCCTCACTAGGGCACACTCGCCTCACTAGGGCACGCTCGCCTCACTAGGGCACGCTCGTCTCACTAGGGCACGCTCGTCTCACTAGAACACCTCACTAGGGCAGGCTCATCTCACTAGGGCACTCTCGTCTCATTAGGGCGTGCCCGTCACACTAGAGCGCTCTCGTTTCACTAGTGTGCTGCCGTTGCCTCAATAATGCTCCCCTCTCATTAGTGCATTCTGTTCTCACTAGGGTGCATTCTTTAATACCTACCTTCAACAGATGGCACCTCCCCCAGACAAGTAGTACCTTCCCCAGTAGGCTGGTGAGGGTGAAGACGACAGAGCTCTTGGTGGCAGCGGAGCACACAGCCAGAAGCAGACCCTGAGGGTGTGCGGCAGGGGGGGTGGGGGGGGGAGGGGAGGGCGCAGAGGAGTGCAGACAGAATTGAGCACACAGCCAGGAACAGAGCCTGTGGGTCTGTGGCGGCGAGGGGGGGGAGGGAAGACGGGGGGGGAAGAAGAACAGAGAGAACAGAGCACACAGCCAGAAGCAAAGCCTGAAGGTGTGTGGCGGGGGAGGGGGGGCAGTTGAGGGACAACTGAGATCATGTGGAAAGCACATGTCAAGAGCAGAACCCGAGAGGGTGGGTGGATAGTAGTGAGCACACGGAAAGGAGATGACCATAGAGGGAGATTGCAGGGGAGGGGTCACGGCAAGTGGAGAGACGGGAGCGGGGAGTTTTGAGACGACTTTAGAGTTGACTCAATAGATAGGCAAGTCACGGCAAGAGGACAGAGGGGAGTTGCTGTAGTATGAATATCTTCAGTTGATGCTGACCGCCAACCTTTGCAAAAATAAAGATTCCTCTCCCCTAACAGGCCACCGGCTCCCCTTGCAAACTACCCCACCCCGCACTCCCCATCCACGCCCACCACCCCACCCTCCCCACCCACCCACGCCCACAAGCACGGCCCCTCCTCCCCTCACGGTATTTGAGACGTCTCAAAACTCCCCACCCTCGCCCACATGCACCCACGCTGCACCCACGCCCACATGCACCCACGCCCCCCTCCTCCCCTCACGTACCCTCTGCCGGGCTTCGTCCATCAGCTCCAACACACCTGGCCGCACTGGCACCTGGGGGAGGGGAAGAGAGGGGGGCGGCCAGAGGCGTGGGGGGAGAGAGAGAGACGTGGCTTAGACGAGGGGAAGAGCGCCGGAATCCCCATTCGAGCATCCTCCCTCTGCCTGCCGGGCTTCGTCCATGAGCCGAGCAACACACCTGGCTGCACTGCCACCTGGGGAACGAGGTGGGTGAGGCGCGGCAGGGAGCGGGGGGGGAGGGAAGGAGGAGGGGGGCAGTCACCTGTCTTGCCCATGCAGTAAACTTTTTGAATCTCATGAAGCTACCAGCGCTTATAGCGCGTACAGTTACCTTCCCTCCCTGAATGGATGTGTCGCCTGTCCTGTAGCCACCTGTTCTCCCAGCACATGTGCTGCTCACCTATCCTGACCCAATCATCTGCTCCCACCTGTCCTGACCCAATCATCTGCTCCCACCTGTCCTGACCCAATCATCTGCTCCCACCTGTCCTGACCCAATCATCTGCTCACCTGTCCTGACCCAATCATCTGCTCACCTGTCCTGACCCAATCATCTGCTCACCTGTCCTGACCCAATCATCTGCTCACCTGTCCTGACCCAATCATCTGCTCACCTGTCCTGACCCAATCATCTGCTCACCTGTCCTGATCCAGTCATCTGCTCACCTGTCCTGACCCAATCATCTGCTCACCTGTCCTGACCCAATCATCTGCTCAGCTGTCCTGACCCAATCATCTGCTCAGCTGTCCTGACCCAATCATCTGCTCACCTGTCCTGACCCAATCATCTGCTCACCTGTCCTGATCCAATCATCTGCTCACCTGTCCTGGCCCAATCATCTGCTCACCTGTCCTGACCCAATCATCTGCTCACCTGTCCTGACCCAATCATCTGCTCACCTGTCCTGGCCCAATCATCTGCTCACCTGTCCTGACCCAATCATCTGCTCACCTGTCCTGACCCAATCATCTGCTCACCTGTCCTGATCCAATCATCTGCTCACCTGTCCTGATCCAATCATCTGCTCACCTGTCCTGATCCAATCATCTGCTCACCTGTCCTGATCCAATCATCTGCTCACCTGTCCTGATCCAATCATCTGCTCACCTGTCCTGACCCAATCATCTGCTCACCTGTCCTGACCCAATCATCTGCTCACCTGTCCTGATCCAATCATCTGCTCACCTGTCCTGGCCCAATCATCTGCTCACCTGTCCTGACCCAATCATCTGCTCACCTGTCCTGACCCAATCATCTGCTCACCTGTCCTGGCCCAATCATCTGCTCACCTGTCCTGACCCAATCATCTGCTCACCTGTCCTGACCCAATCATCTGCTCACCTGTCCTGATCCAATCATCTGCTCACCTGTCCTGATCCAATCATCTGCTGATATTTGTTGGTTTTCCAGTCCTGGTGGCATGGCATGCAGGAGGGACGGGGAGAGAGGCACATAGAGAGAGAGAGAGAGAGAGAGAGAGAGAGAGAGAGAGAGAGAGAGAGAGAGAGAGAGAGAGAGAGAGAGAGAGAGAGAGAGAGAGAGACCATTAACAAGGGGAATAAGCAGAGGTGTGGCAGGGGGAGGGGAGGGAAGGGGGGAGAGAGAGAGAGACAGGGTGATGCGAACAAGAACGAGGCTGTCTCACCATTTATCGTCTCATTAGAGTCAATTTGTTTACATGCACCAGGCGTCAGCTGCACCACGTATCACCTGCAGCGTGTCTATTAGCACGTCCCTGTCAGCAGCAGCCAAACCTTCACCAGTGCAACCCGCACCAGGTGACACCGTCCCACCTGCAGCGTGTCTATGAGCAGGTCCCTGTCAGCATCCGTGGTGGGAGGGGCGGGCAGAAACGACGAATGCGGCCACCCATTCTTGTTGAAATACCTGGGCATAGAGAGGGGGATGCTGGCGTAAATGCCCCACCCCACATTACGGCATTATATGGCACTACATGGCACATATAGCACAATAAGACACATGATGGCGCATGGTGGAGAGAGGGTATGGCCGGACGGGAATGCAAGCATGTCATGCACGGGATATGCAAGCATGTCATACACGGGATATGCAAGCATGTCATGCACGGGATGTGCAAGCATGTCATGCACGGGATATGCAAGCATGTCATGCACGGGATATGCAAGCATGTCATGCACGGGATATGCAAGCATGTCATGCACGGGATATGCAAGCATGTCATGCACGGGATGTGCAAGCATGTCATGCACGGGATATGCAAGCATGTCATGCACGGGATATGCAAGCATGTCATGCACGGGATATGCAAGCATGTCATGCACGGGATATGCAAGCATGTCATGCACGGGATGTGCAAGCATGTCATGCACGGGATATGCAAGCATGTCATGCACGGGATGTGCAAGCATGTCATGCACGGGATGTGCAAGCATGTCATGCACGGGATATGCAAGCATATCATGCACGGGATATGCTAGCATGTCATGCACGGGATGTGCAAGCATGTCATGCACGGGATATGCAAGCATGTCATGCACGGGATATGCTATGGGGGAACGGGAATCAGCGGAGGAGGAATGCCTGGTATGATTCGGAGGGGGATACTGAAGAGCATTCGCAGCACATCATCACATCATCACATCAGCACATCAGCACATCAGCACATCATCACATCATCACATCATCACATCAGCACATCATCACATCATCACATCATCACATCAGCACATCATCATATCATCACATCATCACATCATCACATCATCACATCATCACATCATCACATCATCACATCAGCACATCAGCACATCATCACATCATCACATCATCACATCATCAAATCAGCACATCAGCACATCATCACATCAGCACATCATCACATCATCACATCATCACATCATCACATCATCACATCAGCACATCAGCACATCAGCACATCATCACATCATCACATCATCACATCATCACATCATCACATCAGCACATCAGCACATCATCACATCATCACATCATCACATCAGCACATCTGCACATCATCACATCAGCACATCATCACATCATCACATCATCACATCAGCACATCAGCACATCATCACATCATCACATCAGCACATCATCACATCATCACATCATCACATCATCACATCATCACATCATCACATCAGCACATCAGCACATCATCACATCATCACATCATCACATCATCACATCAGCACATCATCACATCATCACATCAGCACATCATCACATCATCACATCATCACATCATCACATCATCACAGCATCACATCATCACATCATTTGTCACATCGTGAGCCGCGCACCATCGCATCTTGGGCTTCCCCCCGCCGATCTTATTCTGCAGGACGTCGTAGAACTCCGTCGTCCAATCAACGACCGCCTTCTCGCCCGGGCACCGGATCGCGAAGTGCTGGAAGGCGGCGTTGTAAGCGCGCCGATGGAGGTCCTCCGACTCGAGGATCACCCCGTCGCAGTCGAACACCAGCGCGCGGATGAGGGTTTCGCCACCCGCTGACGTGGCGGCCGCGACGGCCGTCCGATCGGCTGACGCGGACACATGGCCTACGGAGCGACGAGCCGCTATTCTCAGCGCGGGAACGCTGAATGTACGGTCAAAACGAGGGACGAATGAGGAAGAAACACAGGCATTGTTTCTGCCTAAGATAACCCGCCTGTTCCCGCTGGTCTGTGCGGCTGTTGCGGCGGCGGAAGTGGCGGCTAGACTCACGGACGCCATGATTCACTCACCAGTGCTTTCAGTTGAGTTGGGATGGGAGTGAATGCATGCTATTACAGTGCCACCTTCAAAATCGTAAGGTTCTATGGTAGGACAACCAAAATGTTTTGAGTGCAGATGCTTTTTTTAGGAGAAACCATCTTTTGACGCGTACAAATGTGGCCAGGAATTTTCGTGGCGAGATGACTGGCCACGTGGTGCGGCAAAACACCCTCACTACTTCTGGGGAGAAATGCAGTTGGTGGGAAGGAGCACTGACCGAATGGGCCAATGGCGTTCGTCCACGTCAAGGACGGCACGAATCGGGGTCCGATGATGTGATGTGACTGTCGGGCCCCAAGGCGCCCCCCCCCCCCCTTCGTTTCCCAGACAGACCGGACCGGACCGGGCCGGACCGGACGCAACAGCATCCGCGCGCGCGCGCTGATTGCCCCCTCCCGTCAAGATGCGGGAACCATGGCTGCTGCCGTTGCTGCCGTTGCTGTCGCGAGCTCGCTTTGTCGGCTTCCCCGTCAGCAAGGCTTGCTTCAAACGTCAGCCTCCCTTGGGCCCTTCGGGAACTCACTGACTGACAGTTCTGGCTCCGCCCCGGAGAGTCGTTTGACTCGTTCCCAGCCCGAAGGAGGTTGTTCCGCAGCCAAGTTGATATATGCCTTCACATATCACAACCGCAGTGGACTGCTCGTAGCAGCGCGTGTCTTAGCGTTCAACGCGTCAGCGAGTCGCTTCCCCAACGGGATCCCTCGCTGACTGTGCGCGCGGAATTCAGTTTTACTCTCCGTTCTTCCTTTCGACGCGCCACAGAAGTGTCGAAGCGTCGAAGTGAGGCGTTTCTCACTGCCTAAGCTGGACAAGAGCGATCATGGGCGCGGAGGGCGTTAGCGCCGGGGGTGCTCACGGCGGGCCGCGCGCCGGGGAAGGCGAGGGCGCGGCGGACGCGTTTCGCGTGGTGATTGTCGGCGCGGGGCCGGCGGGCCTGGTGCTGGCGAATCTTCTGCTGACACGTGGCGGCGGCAGGTTTCACGTCAGCGTGATCGAGAAGGGCGAGGATCCGCGCGCGGAGGTGGAAGAGGCGGCGGAGATCGCGCGCGGGTGATGCGGGAAGGGGGGTGATGGAAGAAAAGGGGGGCGAGGGGGGGAAGTGAAGTCAAGGCGAGTTTTGAGGCGCCTCAAAACTAGACTTCTATCACGGGCAAAGGAGGGGAAGTGAAGTCAAGGCGACGCCCTCAGGGGTAAGGCTTACCCTCCGCTCCCGTTGAATGAAACACGCGGGAGAGGAGGCAAGGTGTAGGTGAGTCCGATAGAGCATCACTTGACACAATGGCACCTATTTGGTGTTCTATTGAGTCCGATAGAGCATCACTTGACACAATGGCACCTATTTGGTGTTCTATTGAGTCGGATAGAGCATCACTTGGGCGCCATGGCTTTACGTGGCAGCGACTTGAAATGCTTATGAGGCAGGTGGGAATGGAATGAAAGAGGCGGGAGAGGAGGCAAGGTGTGGGAGGGAAACAGGTCGCGTCGCACCGCATGGAATGAAACAAGGTCACTCTCGCATCGCATCGAATCTCGCGTGCTTCACACCGTATCAAGGCCAAGGTCCTTGCTAGTAGCTACCCCTCCCCCCTGCATATAGGCTATGTTAGGTTTTTGAGAAATCTCAAAAACCTCCCCCCGTTACCCCCTCCCCCCTCCCCACAAACAACTGCAGGTACGCCATGGGTTTGAGCATCCGCGCGCTGCACTGCCTGATGGCCGTTCCTGGCGTGATGGACAAGGTGCGTGCAGTATAGCGGGGCGGGCTGTAACGGACAAGGCGGGTGCAGAACAGCGAGGCGGGCTGTAACGGGGTGCGTGTAGCACTGCTGCAGGCGAAGCAAGTGATGCAGAACTCCTTGTGTCCGAGAATACCTTGCTCTCCGTCCCCCCACCCCCGTGCCATCCATGCATCCCCCATGACTGCAGGTGCAGCGCGTGATGGTGAATCCACATGAGATGGTCATGCCTGCATTCGGCCGCCTGCTCAGGTTCCCAATTCCCAAGGTACGCTGTGCCGCAGCGGGCCTGCTCATGTCTGTTCAATGTAAGATGTTGCGGGCCTCACTCCAGCGGGCCGGCGGACCTTGGTTTCACTCCTCTGCTTCTTGGGCTAGCTACGCATGTTACGTGCTTATCTGGTTACACATGTTGCGCGCAGATTGTTGTTTTGTTCTGTTATGTCTTCTGGCCAGCCTTGATAGCCTCCTTTGCTTAACTCCCCCCCACCCTTTCCCACCAACCGCCCCTACTCCGCCTGTCCGTGCCTCCGTGCTTTCAGGACCCTCCTCAAGGCCTTGTTTCCCGCACAGACCTGTGCGGGGCTCTCCTTGAAGCGCTTCTTGAGACAGCTACTAAGGGGGACAAGAATGAGGCAGCAGTGGGCTCAAATCGTGATGAGGAAAAGGAGGATGGGGAGAAGGCGCGTGTGGTGCAACAGAAGCACCTGAAGCAGCACCTGAGCAGACACCTGGCGGTGTACTTCGAGTCGAGGGTTGTTGATGTGGATATGAAGAGGCATGTGGTCACAGCTGCTGTGCCATGCGGCAGTGGCAGTGGCAGTGGCAGTGAGGGCAGCAGCAGCAGTGAAGGTAACAACAGCACTGGAGGGAGCAGCAATGGCAGTAGCAGCAGCAGCAGGGGCGACAGCAGCATTGATGCTGGTGGAATCGGCCTTAAGACCGTCCAGCTCAAATACGACCTTCTGGTGAGCAAGGGAGTGAAAGAATGGAAGCAGGAGAGAGTGAGTGAGAGTGGCAGAGGAGTGAGAGAGAGTGGGTAAATGGAGTGAGTGAACGAGCCAGGAAATCACTGAATGAGGGAGTCAGCCAGTGAGGGTGCGAGTAAACGTGTTCTTTTTCACACTCTCTCAACCCACCAGGGGGGAGAAGATGGAGTGCGCTCCTGTGGCCGCATCCTGCTGGCCTCTCTCACGCGGGACTTCCCTGCACATCCTGGCTAGGTGTACCACGACTAAGTGTAATGAGTCGATATTTGAGCCGACTCAAAAATAGACTCATTACACACTTCCCTGCTCACCCCGACTAGCTGTACCACTACTGTGCCGTTGTCAACGTTCCCAGGCCTTCTTTTCTGTGTCCAACCCAACAGGTGGGGGCAGACGGGATCCGCTCCCACATGCGCAACCTGCTGGCCTCTCACATGTGGGACTTCCCTATGCAAACCGACCTAATGTACCGAGACTGGACCATCACAACTCCCCCTCCCCTTCGCCCCCCCCCATTCTCCCTCGCCGCCTCCGTTCTGAGCTCTTATCTCAACAGGTGGGGGCAGATGGCGTCCGTTCCTATGTGCGCAACCTCCTGGCCTCCCAAACGTGGGACTTCCCCATGCACACTGACCGTGTGTACCACGACTGGACCGTTGTCAATGTGCCCGTGCCGCCCGCCCTCACTCCCACCTCGCTCTTCTTTGCCGCCAAGGTGGGTCTTTCTTTTAATCGCAGTGCATTCCTCTTCTACATTTTTGCTTTCTCTCTCCCACAATATGGGACTGCCTTACTCACCCTTGGATTCCCTCCCTCCCTCCCTCCCTCCCTTCTCCACTCTCCAACAGGTCCCCAACACCCAGGGCATTGGCACTGTAGCAATGCCTCTCGTGAGCGGTGAGCATTGTCTGGTGTGGGGGTGGAAGTCCACGGACCCCCCCCTGGACTGGCTCTCCCTGCCGTCCGCCGCTGCCGCCAAGCAGTACCTCGATGACCGCCTGCCCTGGCTGGACGTCCCTGAGGATGCTGCCTGGAAGCTGCTGAAGCAGAAACCACGCACCAACATGCAGGTGCGTAGGTCCGTCTCTCGCTCTCGGTCCAGAATTCCTTGTACCTTGTAAGTTCTTGTATCTGCGCACGGGGCTGCAATGCAGACGGCCCCGTGCATCCATCACAGACGCTCTCACTGGCCGGTCGCTCCCCACCCCCATCCCCCACCCGCCAGGTCAAGTGCTGGCGCTACCACGATACGCCCTCTCACGTGGCTCTCATAGGCGACACAGCCCACTCCATGCTGCCCGCCCTGTGGCAGGGGTGCAATACACCCATCACAGATGGCCTCCTTTGCCTAAACCCCCATCTCCCACCTGCCAGGTCAAGTGCTGGCGCTACCACGACACCCGCTCTCAGGTGGCTCTCATAGGCGACGCCGCTAACTCCACTCTCCCCTTCCTGGGGCAGGGCTGCAACGCCCACATCACAGACGGCCTCCCTTGTTGCCTCCCTGCCACCCCTCGCCAGGTGAAGTGCTGGCGGTATCATGACACTGCTGCGCAGGTGGCTCTCATAGGCGATGCCGCCCACTCCACTCTTCCCTCCCTGGGGCAGGGCTGCAACGCCTCCATCACAGACGCCCTTGTGCTGGGCAGGCTGCTGTTGGGGGAGGCTGTATCTGAGCAGGACAGGGTTCCCCACCCGCTCGGCAAGCAGGGGGGCGTATCCAGCGGAGAGGGGGATGGGCTGGCGTCCGGTGGTGGTGATAGTGGTGGTGGGTGCCAGGTGGAGCCACCAGAGCCAGAGAAGCTGAGAGCGGCGCTTCCAGATATTCTCTCCACTTATTCGGCGCTCCAGGTTAGTGCAGCATGCTCTGCTTCTTTCCAGGTACTGCTTTCCAGATACCTCTTATCTTATTGATACCACAGATGCGGCTACACCTCTGGTTGTTTGTATACCCCACCTCTTAACTGTGTCGATGTGGGTGCTTCAGGTTGTAGAAGGACATGCACTGGTGGATCTTTCAGATGCTGCAGCGCCCGTCAGCGCCTTCTACACTGTACGTTTTCAAATGCATCTTTGCGTTACATGCTGGTGTATCTAGAGTAGAGTTGCACGTGCATGTACTCCCATGTTTAGTCTGTTGCGTGAGCTGATCCATACACCATACATGTGTTTTTTCTCTCATCTTATTGCAGTTCCTATTCACGATGGATCTTGTTATCCGCTCCATATTGTGCAAGCTGCTTCCGTGGTTTGTCTCTCAGCCCATCCAAGGCCTCTGTGGCAACACCACACTGCCGTACTCCTCCATCCTCGGCAAATTCAGGGGCTTTGTGTCCCGCGTTGTGAGAGCCAACGCTGCTCAGCGCTGGGATTGGGTGGTTCAGCGATACAAGAAAACCATCCCGCGGAGGTGATGCATTATAGACGATACCATTGTGCATTTGTAGTTTACCGCATTTGTTTTTTAAATACATTTATCTGTATGTACATTCGCAACAGAAGTACCGTCTACAGCAGTCTTGAGACAGAAGCGGCGATAGTCCTATTGTCGTGCCCCCTAGTGTGTCGCTCCGCCACCGCCACTGGCCATGTCGCGTGTCTGTCTGACTTGGCTTTTGCAGCTTCCGCGTGCCGCTGAAAGTCTGCCACTGTTGCCCTGCGCTCTGTTCAGGGAGAGGCGGAGAGAAAGGAGGTTGGGGGAAGGAAGGGGGGAAGGCGGGGCACTCGGCCCAGGTAAACTTGACCATGGCGGGTGTAGTGTGTGGTTTCCCCCGCCCCCTCTCCCTCGCCTCCCTTCCCCCCCCCCCTCTCCCCACCAACGCCGAAGAGGCACCCCCACCTGCAGTCGCAATCTCCACAGCTGCGCACCGAGCTGTCATGAATGATTGGCCCCTTTCTCCTCCCCGCGCCCATCTATGGTACTATTCCCCAACTCGTCGTCATTTTTCCAGTCCTCTCCTTTCATCTCTCCTCTCCTCCACCACTCCTTGTCAGCAACTCCTTCCACCAGTAACACTCCTGGTCCTCCTGTATTCGTTCCTCGCGAGCGAGTTGCAGCGTTTGCTTGTACTGTACCGCCGCGCACTCCATTGAGGTCTCGGATTAGGTCACGGGTTTGTGCTCGCATTCGTCGAGCTATGCCGACGCTACTTGCGCCGCTCGAAAGCGAGTCACGCATCTCAATACGCGTTATAGCATTTTTAGTTATACTCTACATTGAAGAACTTTCTGAGCTTTCATCAGATTTCTAGTATCTCGGAACGCCGTAGTCGTGTGTCACCTTTGTTCGCGGCTCCAACACGTTTCAAAGCCTATCCTCGCCGTAACGCTCTTCGTTTCTAATAATGGTCCTATCCGGAAACGAATGCGCTTGTAACGCAGCTGCTGAATCGCCAGTTTGCGTACCCGCCGCCCCAGCCACTACGACCCCCAATCCTGCCGCTGCCATCGGATTTCCCCCCATCGCGAATGCCGCTGGTTCCGCCGATGGGCGGAGTCCGCAACGCCTTCGCCTGGCGGTGAGCGGAGCAGAAGGGGGAGCGGGAAGGGGGACGGACGGGGGAGTGAATGCCAATGTGGAGGCGCGGGCGGCAAGGGAAGGGAAGTTGTGGGGGCGCGGAAAGGGGTGGGCGGGAAGAAGCGCGAGCGGGGACCTGGGCGGAGGCGCAATTACCGCCATTGGCGGGGCGGAGAGCCCGCCTGAGGGGGTGACAGGCCCGCTGACCTACCATGGGGAAGGGGGGGGGGTCGATAAGCGGAGCCCTTGGGGGGGGAGGCGCGGGGTCGGGGACGGGGTGGGGGACGAGGAAAAGGGGGGCAGAAGGGGCGCGATCGCTCCGCTGCCGCGGCAAGGGCGGAAGGGGAGAAGGCGGAGCGGAGGGTTTGATAGCGCAGATATGGCGGACGACGGGGGGACGCCTATGGGCATGTTCCGCTCTAGCTCCACCACCGGCGCTACCACCCCCACAAGGGGGGGTCTAGTCCGCACTAACACCGGCACCGGCGCTACTACCCCGCGGGAGGGGCTGTTCGGCTTCCGCGCAGGCGCGCGGCGGTTGTATGAAGCGCGCAAGCAGCAGGCGCAAGTTAAGGCGCAGCAGCAGGTGAATGCGCCGACAGGGCGGATGATGCTGCTCCGCCACGCGTCTGTCCCTTCTGGGGGCGTGGAACACGGGCAGCAGCAGCGGCAGGTGAAACTGCAGGTGAAACGGCAACAGATGGGGGGGAGCGGGCCAGGTGATTTGTCAGGTGGGGTGCCGTCGATGGGGCGAGACGTGTGGGAGGCGGCAGAGAAGAACCAGCTGGGGAGGTGGGGGGGGAGTGGAAAGGGGGAGAGGGGGGAGGGGAGCGGCGGAGAGGAGGCGGAGACGGGGGGGTTTGGCGGGGAGAGAGAGAGTGAGAGTGGGCGGGGTATAGGTAATGCGACGAGGGATATGATAGTGTTGAGGGGGCTGAGAGGGGTGGAGTGGGAAGAGATAGGTAAGGCCGAGGACAGCGAGGAGAGTGAAGAGAGTGAAGAGGAGGAGGAAGAAGGGGAGGAGGAAGGGGAGGAAGGGGAGGAAGGGGAGGAAGGGGAGGAAGGGGAGGAAGGGGAGGAAGGGGAGGAAGGGGAGGAAGGGGAGGAAGGGGAGGAAGGGGAGGAAGGGGAGGAAGGGGAGGAAGGGGAGGAAGGGGAGGAAGGGGAGGAAGGGGAGGAAGAGAGGGGAATCGCAGTGGGGAGCAGAGGAGGTGGCGCGGAGACAGCCTCTGACATCTCTCGAGCACGAAGTGAAGAGAGTGCGGGGAGTGCAAGGAGTGCAGGGAGTGAAGGGAGAGTAGCGCACGAGGAGGCTTCGTGGCCCTTTGAGAAGGAACGAGATGGGCATGCGTGCGAGGCTGAGAGTGAGGTGGAAAAGGATGAGTGGGCTGAGCGGCGGAGTGGGGGGGGGAAGGAGTGCTTGGAGAGGTGTGCCATTGTGGGTGAGGGGAGAGAAGAGAGGGCAAGGGAAGGAGGAGAAGAGAGGGCAAGGGAGGGAGGGGAAGAGAGGGCAAGGGAGGGAGGGGAAGAGAGGGCAAGGGAGGGAGGGGAAGAGAGGGCAAGGGAGGGAGGGGAAGAGAGGGCAAGGGAGGGAGGGGAAGAGAGGGCAAGGGAGGGAGGGGAAGAGAGTGGTGGGGAGAGAATGGAAGCAGGACGAAGGGGGGGGCCTTGGCTTCGCAAAGAAAGAAGAGGGGCAGGGGGCGGATCAGAGGCAGGAAGAGAATGTGTGGAGGTCCAAAGAGGCAATGGGGACGGCGATGGGGGTGCGAGTGTTGGAGCAGCAGCAGCAGCATCAGCAGAATTACCAGAAACAGGAGAGGGGTTGGGTGGCTGGGAGCTGGGTGGAGAGGGAGGGGGTCCGGCAATCGGGAGGGAGGGAGAGGCGGCCTTGCAGGGGCAATCGGCTTCAGCGGATCAGGAGGACACACGTGAGGAGTCTATTTTTGAGGCGCCTCAAAAATACACGCCGATGGAGCCGACGCTTACCAGGCAGTGTGCTGTAAGGAGAGACTCGTCTGACGCTGGCCCACCTCTTGCCCACTCTGCGTCTGGGTCGTCTCTTGCCCAACCCGTGTCGGTGTCGCCTGATGCCGCCCCGTCTCTTGCCCACCCCGTGCCCGTGCCGGTGTCACCAGCGTCCGTGCCGGTGTCGCCAGTGTGCGTGTTGGTGCCTTCATACTCGCGCAAGCCCATCTCCTCGCGCACTGCTAGGCTGGTCCTCGGTCCGTCGTGCGAGCACCTCGTTGTGCCTTATTCTGGTGCCTCTCATAACGAGCTGCCTGCTTCCTCCATAACTATTGCCGCTGCTGCTGCTGCTGCTGCTGGTGACCTGGTGACACCGACAAGCACCAGTAGGCGGAGCAAGGCCCTAGATGCAAGGAAGCAAGGCGGGTGCAGCGCCAATGCCACCACCAACAGTAGTAGCAGCAGCGCCGTGAGTGCGTCTGAGTCGACTCACACGCACTCGGGCAGTGGGACGAGCTACGAGCCCCTCGGTTCAGAGGGGTTGGGCAACACTGGGACGCAATACGAGCCCCTGTGGCCGCTGCCCTCTCCCGGGATCAGGCAGCGGCCCAAGAGCAGCGGGGGAAGGGAAGGCGCGGCAGGCAAACTGGGGCCGGGATTAGCTGGCAGGCTGAAGCTATCGTGTGGGAACGAGGATCGACCTCAGAGCAGGGGGGGGGGGGAACGGGGAGCGGGCGTTGTTGGGCAGGGGTTGGGCGGCAGGCTAAGGCGACGGCCTGAGATCAAGGATTCTTTGGTAGTGACGCCTCAAGAGGAGGCGCTGGTAGTGGCGGTTCGACCGCAGCCTAGAAGGAAGGCTAGCAGGAGTCGGAGCAGTGGCGGTAGTAGGTGTTATGTGCATGGTGATGGTGGTATTGGCAGTGGTGATGGTGGTATTGGCAGTGGTGATGGCAGTGGTGGTGGTGATGGGGATGGCGTTGGCCCTGCTGCCGATGCTGCTGACAGCAGGGAGTCTGATGCTGTGGCTGTGCTTGCTAATGACTCTCGTGATGGTGATGATGGCAATGGTGGTGGTGGTGGTGGTGGTGGTGGTGGTGGTGGTGGTGGTGGTGATGGTGCTGCTGCTGCTGCTGGTGATGCTGCTGCTGGTGATGGCAACGGTGGTGCTGCTGTTGATCCAGGTGCATGTGGGGGCATTGGCAGCCCTGTCGCTACAGCAGGCGTGGCTACAGCAGGCGTGGATGCAGCAGGCATGGCTACAGCAGGCGTGGGTGCAGCAGGCGTGGCTAAAGCAGGCGTGGCTACAGCAGGCGTGGCTACAGCAGGCGTGGCTACAGCAGGAGTGGCTACAGCAGGCGTAGCTACAGCAGGCGTGGCTACAGCAGGCGTGGCTACAGCAGGCGTGGCTACAGCAGGCGTGGCTACAGCAGGCGTGGCTACAGCAGGCGTGGCTACAGCAGGCGTGGCTACAGCAGGCGTGGCTACAGCAGGAGTGGCTACAGCAGGCGTAGCTACAGCAGGCGTGGCTACAGCAGGCGTGGCTACAGCAGGCGTGGCTACAGCAGGCGTGGCTACAGCTTCAGCTGAACATTGCCTGGAGGCGCCTCCAGCGGGGGCAATGCAGAACGCCCCTAGTGAGACAGAAGCACAAGGCGCCACTAGACTTCCCACACCTGCACCGCCTCAACCTCCTCTTTCTCCTCCTCTTCACCCTCCTTCACCTCCTGCTATTGTCACACCTCTGCCACTGAGCGTCAACCCACCTCCGGATACAGTCACACTCGCTGCTGGAACCTCCACTGCTGTTGAATTCCCCACGGCTGTCGAATCCCCCAATGCTGTTGAAGCTCCAACGCACGCCACATGCAATCCCACTGCTACGCCTGCTGCTGTTGCTGCGCTGCCTGCTGAAGTTTCTTCTGCAGTACCTGAGGGTTCACCTGATGTCCCTGAGGGTTCACCTGATGTCCCTGAGGGTTCACCTGATGTCCCTGAGGGTTCACCTGATGTCCCTGAGGGTTCACCTGATGTCCCTGAGGTTTTACCTGCAGTACCTGAAGATTTACCTGACGTACCTGGGGGTTCATCTGATGTACCTGAGGGTTCACCTGGAGCACCTGAAGGTTCGTCTGCAGCGCCTGAGTGCTCACCTGATACCACTGAAGCTTCTGTTAGTTCCGATGATGTTCCTCATGCTCCTGCTGCTGCTACAGCTGCTGCCACTGCCCCAGCTTCTGCTACAGCTGCTGCTGCTGCTCCTACTCTTTCTCCTTCTCCTGCAACTGCGACTGCTGTTGATGCAGCTGTTGTTGCTGCTCCTGCTCTTGCCCCTGCCCCTTCTCCTACTCTCCCTTCCTCTCCCCATCCTGCTCCCCCTCCCACACCTCCTGATCCCGCTCCTGTGCCCACCACCTCTCTCCCCCCAGCCAAGCCGCCTATCACTCCCACACACCCCTTTAGAGGGCCAGCTCCAGTGGGCGACCGGCCGGCCACATCGCCCTTCCCCAGGTGGTCCCTCCCCTGGAAGGCTGCTGCGCGGGAGCAGCCAGGCCAGCAGGTGGCGGGGGGAGGTGGCAGGGGCGGCATTCCGCGTTCCCTCTCCGACCATCAGCCAGCAACGCTGGAGGCCACAGCAGGTGCAGCAACAGGAGCAGGGGCAGCAGGCAGGGCGGGGGGGGGAGGAGGAGAGGGTGGCGGTGCGTCAGAGCAGCTGCGTGCGTCCGTGAGTGAGGGCAACCTGTTCACACGGCGCCGCAGCTCTCACCGCCTGCTCCCGGCGCGCCACCGCACGCTGCTCTCTCCCCGCCACTTCCTCCGCAAACTCTCCTCCTCCTCCTTCCCCTCCGCCCTCTCCTCGGGCAAATCCTCTGGCTTTTCTTCGGGGTTTTCTTCAGGGTTCCCCTCCTGGAAGAGTGTAAACTGGCGGCAGGCACCGGAGGAGGGCCTCTCAATGGTCCCCTCGGATAATCCCAAGGATGTGTGGGAGGCGGCGGAGCGCAACCAGCTGGGGAAATGGCTGGAGCGGGGGAAAAGCTTTCGGCGGGGCGGCAAAATGGGGCTGAGCAGGGGTCTGAGCTTCCGGGCCATGAGTGGTCGGTGGGGCACGAGTGCTCAGGAGAGAGCGGGTGAGAGGGAGGGGGGGCTGGCAGCAGGAGGGGGCGGAGATAGTACGCCTGCTGTTGCTGGGGGGGGTCGAGGTGAGGGAGGTTATGGCTCTGCAATGGGTGGGTTGCATGGCTGGAGGCACACTGTGGACGGCGCTGGGCCTGCTTTTGGCGAGCCAGGCGAGGCTGCTTGTATGGAGGATGGGGGCCGGGTGCGGAGGATCAGCCGAGGTGCGGTGCGGTTTGCGAGGAGCAGCAGTAGCGACGACGCCACTCAGGCACGGCCTTTCAGAGGCAGTGGGGGGCAGGCACTTGCACGGACTAGCAGCAGCAGCAGCGATGGCGCTTCCCACGTGTTGCCTTGCAGTAGCAGTGGGCAGGCGTACACGAGAAGCAGCAGCAAGCGGAGAGCATGGGGGTTCAGGTCATGGGGCAGCGGGCACGGGCATGACAACCTCCCTGGAGGTTTTGAGGCGGCCCAGAGCGTACCCGTGGTGGGGGGAGAGAGGAAGGACTCCGGCCAGAAAGACATTTGCAAGGGGAGGAGCACGAGCAGCAGCGGCAATGGTGACTGGCTTACACCGGCCGACTCGTCATGTGGCAGTTTTGGGGATCATCCCGAGGCTTCAGGTGAAAGGCCAGGTGAATCCTCAGGTGGCGGCGTGCTGTGGAATCCGTACAGTGCTGAGGGCAGGCTGGAAGAAATGCCAAAATTTGTTTCGGTGCCCGAGAAATATGGGGCGGAGGAGGGGGGGGAGGCAGGGGAAGGGGAGGGGGAGTATCTGGGGGTGGCTTGGAGCTGCCCTTTGGTGCTGGGGGACGTGGCGAGAGGAATGCAACCGGAGCACCAGGGGGACCAGCAGGGAGACCACGGCCAGAAGCAGCAGCAGCAGCAAGGCTTGTCGGGAAATGGGCAAGAGGCGGGCGAGGAGGCAGTAGCAGGGGCGAGAATGGGGACCGTGACTGAGGGGGAACCCCTGGAGTGCCATGACGGGGGACTGGAAGTGCATGGTGGTGGTGGGGAGGCAGGGACGGAGATCATCCTGCCGAAGTCCGTGGTGCGGTTTCAGCAGACGGGGAGAAAGGCCGCCGCCGCCTCGCTTATTGCGTTGAAGCCGTTCTGGCAGCGTGTGCAGCAGCAGAAGGCAACGCAGGGAGAGTCGCCGCACAAGGTGTAGATACGTGTTTGACGAGCATATGGCAGTAGCATGTGAAAGGAAACAAACGATTGCAACTTATTTGTTTCCTTATCCCGGGTTTTAGTTAGTAAGGCGTACGTACGTACACTGTTATAACGGGGTTGCCACGCAGCTCTGCCAAGAAATTCAAATCGCGGCACATCTCCTGATGAACCGCATGCGGTTTGCCCACCTTGCAGTTTCATGCCTGGATGTGTGCGCTCCGCGCCAATTTACAAACCACATGTCTTAGCTCTGCCAAGCCTTGGGACCTTGTGCTCCAGGCCTAGCTATATCTAGTCCCCCTTTTGTTTTGATGTTGCCTCATCGTCCCCCTTTTGTTTTGATGTTTCTCGCTACTCAACTAATCTACACTCATTGTTTGTGCTTCATTACAGTTAGTGTTATAAGAAAGTGATATGATATTTCAATTATTAGTCAGGCATTCTTAGCTTGCTTCCATGTTGTTTTGGCCGTTGTATTACTCAATGCTATTATCGCGTACAGAAGTCGCGGAATGTGGCAGCTTTTGGCCTGATCCGCGCCGTCCGCTTCCTGCAGCCCATGTTTTGGCACGAAATGAGTGCACTGTAACGGCGCGCTCTGACTCAGAGCTCCGCGCAATAAATTTCCCGCATGCGCAAGGGCACTGCTGCGTCTGCCATTGCCATTGCCCCCTGCACCACCCACCACCACCCCCCGCGCCCGGCCCCTCCTCCCCCCCCACCTCCCCTTCCTCCCGCCGCGTCTTCGTTTTTCAACCCCTCCGTTTCGGCAACTTTTGCTCCTCTCCGCACCTGCTTTCGTCCCAGCATCCTCGTTGCTGTCGTCGCTTCTGCAACCACAATGCATGGCTTTCTCATGGTCATGCAACAACGTTCGCAAAACTTCAGCGACTTCGCTAAGCGAGACGACTTGCCGACTCGACAAGCGACGACGACGACGACGCCGCAGCTTGAGTAGCATTCTCATCTGCTCAGCGCAGAAGTAACCCCGTTATATATATACTTAGAAAAGATACGATTGTTTTATTTTGTCACGATGATCCTGTCATCCGCAAACGAATCTGCTAGCAGTGCACCTGTCGACCCGCCAATTCACACGCTCCCCGTCCCCGCCGGCTCAGCTACCAATTCTGGCGCTGCCGTCAGACTTCCCCCCATCGCGAATGCCGCCAGTTCCGCCGATGGGCGGAAGCGGAGACCGCTGCAGCTGCGCCTGGCGGTCAGCGGAGCAGACGGGGAAGCGGGAAGCCCCCTGAGGGGGGTGGATGGGGGAGCGGATGCCAACGCGGAGGGGGCGGGAAGGGAGGGGCAATTGTCGGCCCGCGGAAAGTGGCAGAGGCGCAGAAGCGCGAGCGGGGACTTGGGCGGAGGCGCAATTACCGCCATTGGCGGAGCGGAGAGCCCGCCAGAGGGGGTCACGGGCCCGCTGACGTACCACGGGGAAGCGCGGGGAAACAATGATCAGAGCCCTTGGGGAGGGGGCCGCGGGGCTGCAGCGGGGGTTGGGGACGAGGAAAGGCAGGAGGGGAGAGGCGCGATTGCATCGCGCAGTACCGCTGGGGAGGGTGTATACCGCACTAGCACCACCACCACCGCCGCTGCTAGTACCGCCGCCACCACCACCCCACGGGAAGGCTTGTTTGGGTTCCGTGCGGGCGCGCGACGATTGTACGAAGCGCGCAAGCAGCAGGTCAAGCCCATAAAGCAGCAACAAACACCAGTAACGCTGCCCCGAGGCTCGTCCCTCCCCGCTGCTGCTGGTGCTGCTGCCGCCCCGGAGGGAGGGCGGAAGCAACGGCAGATGAAACGGCAACAGAAGCGCAGGAGCGGGCCAGGTGATTTGTCAGGTGGGGTGCCGTCGATGGGGCGAGACGTGTGGGAGGCAGCAGAGAAGAACCAGCTGGGGAGGTGGGGCGGGGGTGGAAAGGGGGAGAGGGGGGAAGGGAATGCTACGGGGGAGAGGGGGGAAGGGAATGCTAAGGGGGAGAGGGGGATGGGAGTGAGGAAGAGAGGAGGGAGGGTAGTGTGCAGCAGGCGGAGGGGAGGGAGAGTAGCGTGGGGGAGCAGGGCGAGAGGGATGGTGGGGAGGGGGAGAGGGGGGGTAGTGGAGTGGAGAGAGAGAGTGAGAGAGAGTGTGAGAGTGGGGGGTGGGTGAATGGAGTGATGAGGGGGAGGACGGGAGGGATGAGGGGGGAGCGCGGGGAGGAGGAGAGGGGGGGGGGAGAAATGGGGGAAGGAGAGGAGGAAGGGGGAGGGGAGGACGAATGTGGGGCGGAGTGGGAAGAGAGAAGGGAGCGACGGGAGAGCGAGGTGGAGGAGGAAGAAGGGGAGGAGGAGGAGGTGGTGGAAGGAGATGGGGGAGAGGGAGGGCAAGGTTCAGCGGAGAGCAGAGGAGAAAGAACGGAGATGGCTTCTGACGTTTCTCGGGAGCCGATTGATGGCAGCGTGGGGAGAAGAGAGAAGGAGGAGTCTCCATTGCGCGACGACGAGGGAAGGGGAGAATGGGCGGAGGGGGAGAGTGAGGGGAGGATTGCGTTTGTGGTGAGGGTTGTTTCTGCGAGTGTAGAGAGAGAAGATGAGGGGTCAAAGAGGGATAGGGAAGGGGAAGGGGAAGGGGAAGGGGAAGGGGAAATGGGTTTTGGAAGGGTGGGTGATGGCAAGTCAACGGAAGCCGAGAGCGAGGCGGAGCATTGGGTTCACAAGGAGCATGTGGAGGCAAATGGAGAATGTGCAGGTGACAATGGAGAATGTGCAGGTGACAATGGAGAATGTGCAGGTGACAATGGGCAACGAGGATGTGGCAGTGGGACTCAGAGAGACTGTGGGGCCGCTGCTGGGCATCAGAAATCGATATTTGAGGCGCCTCAAGAAAACAGTGGGGCCGCTGCTGGGCATCAGAAATCGGATCCCGATAGTAATGGGCAGGACGGGGCGTGCTGTGAAGGGGGAAGGGAAGAAGGGGCAGCAATGGAGCAAGAGGAGGAGAAAGTGAGAATTCAAGTGGCTTCAACACTCGGCTGCTCGCCCGCCACTGGCGCCGAGGAGGCAGGAAACGAATTTACCAAAGAGGGGGCTGCAGATAAACTAGACAGGTCTTTGGAGCTGAGTTTTAACAAAGAGCCGGCTCGTAGGAGGTATTCATCTGTGACCGCCAGCACCCCCGCATATTCCCGTGCCCCCATCTCGTCCCGCATCGTTAAGCTCGTTCTAGACCCTTCAGTCAAGCCCATCGTTGTGCTTGACTGCTCCGAGTCCTCTGCTCCTGCTGCTACTGCTGCTGTTGCTGCTGCTGCTTATGTTCATGCTGCGGCTGCAGCTTCTGCTGTTGACCTGCTGACACCTCCAAGCACCAAGACACGGAACAAAGCCAGAAACGCCAAAGCTCAAGGCAGTATTAGCCCGCTACATGGGGCCACAGGGGGCCCTGGCCCGTATGAGGCATGGTACGAGCCCCTCTGGCCGATGCCCCGTGCTGGATTCGGGAAACGAGCTCAGAGCACCGGGGGGGGGAAGGGGGGTGTGGAAAATCCAGGGCAGGGGTCGGCTGGCAGGCTGAAGGTAAGGTGTGGGGCCAGAGGGGAGAGGGAAGGAGCAGTGGACACAATGGGGCAAGGGTGTGTGAGTAGCAGCAGTGGTGTAAGTCGGGGAGGAGTGGAGGCAGTGCGGCGAGTGTGCGAGGGAGCTGAGGTGAGGGAGGCCCTGGGACAGGTGTCTGAGAGCAGCAGTGGTGGCATGGGAGGAGCAGAGGGAGTGGGGAGGGTGTGTGAGAGTAGCAGCAGTGACGGCAGGGGAGGAGGAGCGGAGGCAGTAGGGCTGGGGGTTGGTGCACCTGCACCGTCCGATGCATCTGCACCGTCCGATGCATCTGCACCGTCTGGTGCATCTGCACCAGTTGACGCTGCTATGCCTGCTGGGCTTTCTGAAGCACCTGAGGGTTCGTCTGAAGCACCTGAGGGTTCGTCTGAAGCACCTGAGGGATTGTCTGAAGCACCTGAGGGATTGTCTGCAGCACCTGAGGATTCGTGGGACATGCATGGAGCTTGTGTTGTGGGCGCACATGATGATGCTGATGCTGCTGCCCCCGCCGCTGCTGCTGCCGCTGCTGCTGCCGCTGCTGCTGCCGCTGCTGCTGCCGCTGCTGCTGCCGCTGCTGCTGCCGCTGCTGCTGCCTCTGCTGCTTCCCCTGATGCTCATCTTGCAGTTTCTCCTCCTACTGCTGCTGCTCCTGCTGCTGCTGCTGCTCCGGCTGCTGCTGCTGGTTCTGCTGCATCTGCTTCTGCTGCTCCTTCTGCTACTGCTACTGCTTCTCTTGCTGCTGTGGTTGCCGCTCCTGCTCCTCCTCTTGCTGTTGATGCTGCTGCTGCTGCTGGTGCTCCTCCTCCTCCTCCGTCTGCTGCTGCCGCTGCTGCTCCTTCTACTGCTCCTTCTGCTCCTGCTCCTGCTCCTGCTCCTTCTGCTGCTGCTGCTGCTTCTCCTCTTTCTTCTGCTGCTGCTACACCTCCCACCAGTGCTGCCACTGTTCCTCCTTCTGCTGCGTCACCCGCTGCTGCCACTGCTGACACATCCTCTCCTTCCTCCAGCAAGCCCCCTGCCAACACCCAGCAACCCTTCACAGCCAGCCCCCCCCCTCCTTCTGCTGCATCACCCGCTGCTGCCACGCCTGACAAATCCTCTCCCTCCTCCAGCAAGCCCCTTCCCACCGCCAAGCAATCCTTGGGACTCTCCGTCTCTGTAGGAGACGCCCCCACTGCACCCCTCTCCTCCCCCAGGTGGTCCCTCCCCTGGAAGGCCCCTGCGCCGCACTCTTTCTCCTGGAAGCCCCCTGTCCGCCACCCCCTCCTGGGGGCCGGCAGCCCTCTGCGGCTCGTGCTGGGTAAGGCGAGGAAGGAGGAGCGCGGGCCAAGCTGCCTGGACCGAGGGGCAGGTGGCGAAGAGCGTGGGGCAGGCGGCCAGGGGGAGGGGCAGCAGCAGCAAGAGCCGGCGCACGACCAAGCGGGTGGTGCGAGCAGCGCCCCGCGTTCCCGCTCTGACCATCTAGAGGGGGCTGCATATGGGGCAGGAGCAGGAGGAGCAGGAGGAGCAGGAGGAGCAGGAGGAGCAGGAGGAGCAGGAGGAGCAGGAGGAGCAGGAGGAGCAGCAGGAGCAGGAGGAGCAGGAGCAGGAGGGGGAGCAGGCGGGGGTAGTGGGGCGGGTGGGAGAGGGGAGCGGCTGCGGGGGTCACTGAGCGAGGGCAGTCTGTTTGCCAGCCGGCGCAGCGTGAACCGCCTCCTCTCCGCGCGCCACCGCATGCTGCTCTCCCCCCGCGACTTCCTCCGCAAGTTCTCCTCCTCCTCCGTCCCCTCCTGGAAGGGTGTCAACTGGCGGCAGGCGTCGGACTCAAGCCTCTCAATGATCCCCTCGGACGGGCCCAAGGACGTGTGGGAGGCGGCGGAGCGGAACCAGCTGGGCGGGCAGTGGGACCGGTCCAGTAGTGCGAGGAAGAGGAGCATCCTGTTGCTTGGTGCTAAGTCGCTGAGTGACAGGGCTCTCAGCGGGAGGGCGTTGAGCGGGAGAGGGAGCACGAGCATGCAGGAGAGAGCGAGTGGGGCGAGGGGGGACGGAGTGGTGGGAGAGCAGAGTGCAGCGGAAGGGGTGACGGATAGCAGCAAGGCAAATGGAGGGGAGCAAGGTGGGCCGGGATGTGAGTCCTCCGCAGGTGGGTTGCACGGCCGCAGACACACTGTTGACGGGGCTGGGGCTGCTTTCGGCGCTGGGCTTGATTTTGGCACTCTGGGAAGGAATGCTGCAAAGGAGGATTGGGAGCGGGTGAGGCGCATCAGCCAGGCTGCGCTGGGGATTTCCAGAAGCGGCAGCAGCAGCGGCAGCGGCATTGGCGACCCTCAACGGGTGCTTCCGCCCAAAGGCGATGAGCAGCTGTATGCACGCAGCAGCAGCACTCGCAGGACGTGGGGGTTCAAGTCATGGGCCAGCGGCCACAAGAGGAGCTCCAGTCAAAACAGCTCGAGGAGTTCTGGGGCGCCTCAAAGCGTGCCGTTGGTGGGGGGTGAGAGCTGGAGCTCCAGTCAGAAAGATCTTTCGAAGGGAAAGAGCACGAGCAGCACTGGCAACGGTGGTTCCCCTGACAGCCCTCGGAGTCATCCCGATGCCTCAGGTGAATCCTCAGGTGGCACCGTGCTGTGGAATCCGTACAGCGCTGAGGGAAGGCTGGAAGAAGTGCCGAAATTTGTCTCTCTTACCGAGTCATATGGGGGGGAGAATGAGGGAGTGGAGGGGGAAGGGGAGGAGGGGGAGGAGTACATGGGTGTGCCATGGAGCTGCCCGGTGCTGATGGACGACGTGTCGAGAGGGGGGCATCGGCAGCATCAGATGCAGCAGATGCAGCAGCAGCAGGCAGGTGGGAAGGTGGGGGCAGCAGCAGCAGGAATGCAGCCATTGAAAGAGAGTGAGGCATGGGAGCGTTTGGGAGGGGGGAGAGAGGGGGAAGCGGGTGACGAAGGGGAGGCCAGTCAACAGAAGAAGACAAAGGCTGCCGCCTCTCTTGTTGCAGTGAAGCCGTTTAGGCAGCGTGTGCAGCAGCCGAAGGCAATGGGGGGGCAGCAGTTGCAGGGGGTGTAAGTATGGGATGGATGGGTAAGGTTCAGTCATCCACTTTTACTAGATGTCTTTGTTGATTGCCCACAAGTAGGCCTTCTTCTAAGCCCATACAAGCCACACAATGAGTGAGTTAAGCTTTCCAAGGTTATTCTGCAGTTGTTACGATTGGATTTTGTACAACAACAAAAAATCTGGCTTCGCAGAGCTGTTTGAGCTGATGGTATAGATGGTGTTGTACATGTACTACTACATCACACTCATTAGGAAGAGGGAAATTAAGGCATATACGAGGAACTTAGCCTCGTTATTTCAAAACTGTGCCATTTCCAGTTTACTGTTTTATTTGCGTTTTTGCACCTGTTCGCGCCTTCTGCTCGTCTTGCAATTGCCGAGCAGATCTAGGGTTTCCCCCCAAGCTACCTTCACCAACCACTTCCCGAGATTCTTGAAATTGCCGAGGCTCAATCTGTAGATCCTAGGAGACGTGCAGCGAACATCTAGGATCTGGAGCAGTGAGCAAACGTCTAGGTTCTAGATCAGTCGCGTGCACATTAGGTATCATGTAGATACCTTACGCACACGCTATGCGTCGCCTTTCTTTAGCTTAGTCCATGGCTTCCGGGGATACCGGTGTGCAGAGGGACGGATCGGTCCCTGGTGGCTCCTCCTGGCCACCAGGGTTCGGCGTCCCTCCAGCTTCAGCCTACGCACGTCCGCTTCCAGGCGATTCTTCAGGTGTTTCTGCGCACGAAATTAACTCGCATCTTGTAGCTAACCATGATCCGATGGCGGGAAACGCTTGGCATTTTGGACCGTCGGATGCGAGACAGTTCGGATTAGGCCCTGCTCGAGCTGCGCTTGGTTCTGATCCCGCTGCTCGCAATTTAAATCTAGGCGATGATTCGTCGTCGCTCTCCGGCGGATCTGGCGGTATAGCACACTCAGCGAACCCTATTGATTCGATATTATCTAGGCTAACTCCAGGCAGCGGATTGGCCGGGTTGCCAGGCGAAGCTACGGCTCCGCGAGTTTCGGGTCCTGCTGTCTCGCAAGGAATGAACGGGATCGGCCGTGCGACGCATACGGAACAGATGATACCATTGCAGCAGCAACCGCAGAACCAGCATCAGCATCAGCAGCAGCAGCAGCAGCAGCAGCAGCAGCAGGCTCTTTTCTTGCAGCAAGATTTCCCGCAGCTGCAGCGCCAGCAGATTCTCGAAGCTCCTCCTCCGCCGTCCGATGGATATTCTCGCATATCGACGGACCACATGCTATCGTGGCAAGTGGAGGAGTATTTTCAGCAGCAGCGGAGGCAGCAGGCGCTAGCCGGGCTTGTGACTCAGCAGCCGTTCGCGCTCGACTCAGGACCGCTCGGATTGCCACGTCATCCGCAACAGACGCTCGGTCCACCTGCAGCCACGTCATTGGAGCACAGTCAGAAACATCATCAGCATCAGCAACAGCAGCAGCTTCAGCAGCAGCGTTTTCAGGGGTCTCAAGCCGGTGCTCCGTTATACGGCGACTCTGTACAGGCACAGTTCTCGTCCCTCCCCGGAGGCGTTCTCAGCAGCCATTTCCCCTCGGGCTCATCAGCGACTCGATCAGACGGCGATCTCGGCCAGATCTACGGTCCACGGGACTCACAGGCTCTCCCCCGCCCTCCGAACAGTCTCGGATTCGCCTTAAACGAGACGCGAAATTCCCAGAATCTACAGGATGTCGGTCCCATGGCGCCGAACCCTTCGGAGAAGTACGAGGTTCCTTCGTACCTTAAAGAGTTATGGTCCGATTCTCCTGTTCACGGTTCCCCACTCCGCGCGCCCGGGGCGCCTTCTAACATGGATGGGATGCGAGGCGGACAGACGTTCTCTCTCGGACCAGGAATGGGGATGGGGGGGCTAACGATTGGCGATGCATCAGCAGGAGCACCGGGGAGGTTCGGAGGGGAAGGAGGATTCGGAAGGGAGCTGGAAGGCGGGAGAGGAGGGCTAGGAGGGGTTGGAGGAGGGGGTGGGGGAGCGGGGGAAGGATTTGGGGGGAGTGGGGGAGGAGGGGGGCGCGGAAGTCCGTCTCTTGCGCCTTACCCGCATCACGGGCTGAACGGAGGTGATCTGCGCTTGCAAGGCTTTCCCAATCCGGGTGGGCCGTTCGACCAGCGCCGAGCCTCGTTAGAAGGCTCCCCGTTTGGAAGAAAAGCCGGCGTGGAGCAGGGCAGAAACTCCCCTATTCGATCCTCTTTGAGCAACTGGCCGTACGGGCCTAGCGAGGCCGAAGCCGATAGAGCACCAAACGGAGCGCCGGGACGTGGGGACAGCCGGTTCAACCCTACGAGGGGAGTCAATGGGAGGGCGCCAGGACGAGGGGGGGATGGAGCTAGTGAAGAAGGTTTTCCTGGTGCGAGTGGTGGTGGTGGTGGGTGGGATGTGAGCGGCGGGCTAAGCAACGGAGGCATGTTAGCGGGAGGTAGAAGAGACGACGGGTTGGAGGTCGGAGACACGTGGGGTCGTGCTACTGGTGCCTTCGGGCCTGAGGGGCTTCACGGGAGCCTCCCTCCACCGCTGCACCAGCGCTTCCCGAAAGACCACCAGCAGCAGGGCGGGACCATGGGTGCGTTAACTTCTGATGCTAACAACGAGGGGGGATTTAACGCGGACGAGCTGACCCTGGAGCAACTGACCGACCCAGCTGCTGCGGCTGCGCTGGATGGTCCGTCCAGCCAGCAGACCATCATGGACCTCCTCGCCGCTGCTGGCATCCCCTTCGGCCCCACACAACCGAAACTCTCTGGCTTGCACCAGCAGCACCAGCAGCAGCAGCAGTACCAGCACCAGGAGCAGCATCACCAGCGGCAACAGTTCCAGCAGCAGCAGCAGCAGCAGTTCCAGCAGCAGCAGCCGCCGCCACAGCAGGGAAGGGCGCAGCCAACGGCGCGCAAGCTGTTCAACGATGACATGTTTCCTCCCCTGGGCTCGCCTTCCCCAGCTTCCGCCAGCAAGCCTGGGGCAGGCGCGGACGGCGGTGGGGGCGGGGCGGGCAGGGGCGCAGCAGGTGCGGAGGGAGATGAGTCCGGCGGGGGTGCAGGCGCGGGGAAGGGCGCGGTGGAGCTGAGGGAGTCGCTGGAGGCTCTAGCTGAAGATATGATGGCGTTCGACCTGACGGGGGAACGGACGGGTGACCGGATGGGTGAACTGACGGGTGACCTGGCTGGTGACTCCGGGCAGTTTCACCTTCCGCAGGGGCATGCGGGGCAGCAGCAGCAGCACGTTTCTCGCAACCAGCAGCAGCAGCAGCAGCAGCAGCAGCAGCACGGTATCCCCATCCATCCGCATCGCCACCACGCTGCCTTCACTGCCGCCCCTCGCCACCCCCCTGGCTCCAGCCCCGGCCAGCGGTTCAGGCACCCCGAGCAGCAGCAGCAGCAGGGACGGAACGTGCAGCAGCAGCAGCAGCAGGAGCCGCAGCAGCAACAAGTCCAGCCGAGGGCCCAGCAGCAGCAACACCCCAACCAGCAGCAGCAGCACCCGAGCCAGCCGAACCAGCAGCAGCAGCAGGTGGGGCAGTTCCGCCCGCACGCCCACCGCGCGCCCTCGCTCCGCGTGGATCTCGCCCGCCTGAACGCGCACCTCCTCACCCTCTTCCGCTCGCTGGAGCCCACTGCAGAGGAGGCGCAGCGCAGAGAGGCGCTCATGCGCCTGCTGGGCCGCGTCACGGCGGTTGCGTACCCCCAGGCGCAGTTGTACCTGTACGGGTCGTGCGCCAACTCGTTTGGTGTGAGGAACTGCGATGTGGATATTTGCCTGGCGCTGGAGGGGCCGGATGTGTCGCGCGTGGAGGTGATCACTAACATGGCGAACGCGCTCAGAGCCGAGGGCATGCGGAACGTGCAGGTGAGAAAAGAAGGGCACGAGAAGCAAGCAGGTGAGAAATCTGGAGCGGCGGGATGTGTTGCGTTTTTTTAGGCGCCTAAAAAATTGTTGCGTGTGGAGGCGATCACGAATATGGCGAACGCACTCAGAGCCGAGGGCATGTGAAACGTCCAGGTGAGAAGGCAGGTGCAGTGCAGGTGTGAGGGCGGGATGTGTCACATGTGGAGGTGATCACGATTCTGGCCAATGCACTCAGAGCCAAGGGCATGAGCACCGTGCAAATGCAAGGAAGGGGGCTCGCGGATGTGTTGCATGTGTTACGAATTCTTTGGGATTCCCAACCCCCATCCCCCACCCCTCTGGCGCCTACACAGGCGCGGACTCATGCACGTATGCCCATAGTGGGATTTTCTGGGACCCCGCATCCAGCATAGCGTGCGACGTGTGCGTGAACAACCTCGCCGACGTGGCCAACAGCAAACCAATGCTGCTTCCTCCCTCCCTTCCAATCCAACCCCCTCCCCCCTCCCACCACCGCTACCCCCACCCCCACCCCCACCCCCATCCCCTGGCTCCTCCCTCCCGCCCTGGCTCCTACTCAGGCGCTGACACATGCACGTGTGCCCATAGTGAAGTTCCTCGACCCCGCGTCAGGCGTAGCGTGCGACATGTGTGTCAACAACCTGGCCGCCGTGGCCAACAGCCGGCTGCTGGCGGACTATGGGGGCGTGGACGAGCGCGTGCGGCAGCTGGCGTTCCTGGTGAAGCACTGGGCGAAAAGGAGGCAGATCAACGAGACGTTCCGCGGCACACTCTCGTCCTACGCGTACGTGGGTAGATAGCGAGTCCGGGATTAGGGGGTTCTATGGGTGTGTGGACGAGCGCGTGCGGCAGCTGGCGTTCCTGGTGAAGCACTGGGCCAAGCGCCGGCAGATCAACGAGACATTCCGCGGCACGCTGTCTTCCTACGCGTGCGTGGGTAGAGTGGTGAAGGGCGTTCACCCGGATGGTCTTTTGCCCGGTGGTTCTCCTCTCCGATCCCCGTTAGCCTGAGCTATGGCATCACAGGCATCATGTGCTGTCATCATTCCCACCACACCACCTCCTATCTAATTCTCATTTTTAACCTCCCCCCTCCCCCCTCCCCCCTCCCCCCTCCCCGTTCCCCCTCCCCCCCCTCCCAGGTACGTGATCATGTGCATTCACTACCTGCAGCAGCGCCAGCCGCCCATTTTGCCCTGCCTCCAGGTGAGATCCGCATGCTCTCCTTCGCAACCATGTGTGTGCCGCACGCTCTTTGTCCCCACGCAGGCCAAGTTTGAGTCTGTTCTCTTGGTAAGTGCCCGTGGGCAGTTTATAGCCAACAGTTTATAGCCGACAGCTTATAGCCTTCCTGTGGCAGACACAGAAGCGATGCTTCCCTCTTTGGCCTCAAGTACCCTCCCTTTCCTGCCCTCTCGCCCTCTCTCCCTCCCCTCCCCCTCCCCTCCCCCTCCCCTCACCCTCCCCCTCCCCCCCTTTTTCCTCCTTCCTCCTGACGCCACTTCTTTTCCTCCCCCCCCCCTGTTACAATCGCCAAGAGATGCAGCCGCTCTCGTACCGCATGCAGGTGAGGGGCGCTGTGTGCTCCTGCTATGACAAGGTTGGAACACCTCTCCTCCCGTCCTCCTTAACCCGCCCCCCACCCCCCCCCACCCCCCCCCCCCCCTTTTACCACTGCCAGGAGATGCAGCCGCACACGTACCGCATGCAGGTGGGCGACGTGCTCTGCTCCTACTACGACAAGGTGGAGACGCTGCGGGGCTTTGGCGCGGCCAACGGGGAGACGGTGGGCGAGCTGCTGGCGGGGCTCTTTGAGTACTGGGCCTTCCGCCACGACTACAACCGCTCGGTTATCAGCATTCGCACGGGCGGGTTCCTCAGGTATTAGATGAAAGGGCTACCCTTTTTTATCAGTTCTCGTGCCTGTGCTGGTTGTTGTCAGCCTACTGTGTGTGATCGGCCCGAGCCCCAATTCCTGGTGTGTCTTCCCTATTTGCTTAACCTCTGCATGGAGAACCCGCAGGAGACTTCATCCCCCCCTTCCCTGAACCCCTTGCACACACCCTCGCTCACCACCGCAGCAAGGAGGAGAAGGAGTGGACGCGTAGGGTGGGTAACGAGCGGCACCTCATCTGCATCGAGGACCCCTTCGACCTCTCCCTCTCTCTCCGTCTCCCCATTCCTCTTGTTTTCTCTCCCGCCCGCAGCAAGGAGGAGAAGGAGTGGACGCGCAGGGTGGGCAACGAGCGGCACCTCATCTGCATAGAGGACCCCTTCGACCTCTCCCTCTCTCTCCGTCTCCCCATTCCTCTTGTTTTCTCTCCCGCCCGCAGCAAGGAGGAGAAGGAGTGGACGCGCAGGGTGGGCAACGAGCGGCACCTCATCTGCATAGAGGACCCCTTCGACCTCTCCCTCTCTCTCCGTCTCCCCATTCCTCTTGTTTTCTCTCCCGCCCGCAGCAAGGAGGAGAAGGAGTGGACGCGCAGGGTGGGCAACGAGCGGCACCTCATCTGCATAGAGGACCCCTTCGACCTGTCGCACGACCTGGGCCGTGTGGTGGACCGCAGCTCCATCCGCGTGCTGCGGGACGAGTTCCACCGCGCCGCCAAGGTCATGCGCCACGACCCCGAGCCCTATGTGACGCTCTTTGAGCCGTACGTGCGAGAGGATGAACGGTGAGGATGGACCGAAAAGTGCCGAGATAGGGCCGAGAGAGGGCCTCGAACTGTGGATTTGTTGGGGGGAGATACTGTCCGATGGTAGCCATCCTTGTGGACGGTTTGGTTGAAGGTTTGACGCAGACAATCGTGGGTTGGGTTGGGTTAGGTGGGATGAGGTGAGAATTCCCCATACTCGTTTACTACTCGGTACATACGGTAAAAGGGGGTGTTTACTTCTGAACTTTAGAGCTTGGTTAGGTTGACTTCTCTCTTCGCTCTGCTTGTCTGCCGGATATGTACTACTGACTGAATCATTCTCTTCACTCGAACGCGTTCGAGCACACGGGTGGTTGGGTAGCGCAATTCAAGTACCGTGTACGTCACTAGTGACATGTGAGCCAGCCATCTAAGCAATCATAGCTATGGCTAATATGAGCCATCTCCACACAAGACTTGGCTCGCCTAAGGCTAACACTACACCTCTTAGTAACGATTGGAGGTGACCCCTTGAAAGGGAGCCTCCAAGGGGAGGCACGTGGCAGCAGGCTATTGGTTGACGTCCAGTGGCAGTCCGAGGGCGAGCCGCGTGGCAGAAGGCTATTGGTGGAAGTCCAGTGGCAGTCGGAGGAGAACGGGGAGGAGATGGATGGTTCTGGGGAGAGCACAAGCGTTGCCCCATGAATGGTGTACCCTGGGGAGGATGGCTTCTCTTCTGCATGCACTGTCTGGGTTGTTCCGTTAGCAGACAAAGATGCCTTCTGTGGTACCACCTCCTCTGTCCCATCCCCGGTTATTCGCTCCTGCACTTGACTGTATGGGGGAGGGAAGGTTGTAGCGGTGTGTGTGGGTGTGGGGACGTTAGCGGTGCCTCTTGGGGAGTTTCCTTCTGACCGTGCCCGAGTGTAGAGATGGGGGGAGAGGATCCAAGTCTCGGTGGTTGGAACTACGTACGACATGCTTCGCCTGATGCCTCGGTGCCACCTCATCCTTGACCTGAGGCTGCCGTTACCAGCATCAGCAGAGCAATCATTCTCGTCATCATCACCTGCTCCCGACTTTTCTGCCAGAGCACCAGCCATGGCTGCTGCAGATTCCCCACCCTCCCCTGTACTCCCCATCCCACAATACCTCCCATCATCCCCACCTTTCCCCTCCCCTACCTTCCCCATCGCACCATCCTCTCCTTGCGCCTTCCCCTCCTCCTCCTCTGCATCTTTCCGCTTGTGTCCCTCGCGTCTCCTCCACCTGCCAGTGCTGTCATCCACGGCACAGCTGCTCACAACAGCCAGGCTACTCCCAAACGCAATGCTGCTGGCGATGGCAAGACTCCCGCCGAAAGAGAGGCTCGTTGCGATCGCAAGCGTGCTGCCGAACGCCAGGCTGCACCCAAGAGCCAGGCTCCTCCCAACCACGTCCCCACTGGTACTGCCGCTTACATAAGTGCTGGTGCTGTAAGTGCTGGCGCTGACGCTGCTGCCGATGGCGCTGGCGTTGGTGCTGGCGACACTGACATTGCTGCTTACACCTGCGTCTGCAGCATTCCCTTGGGAGTCGCTTCTGGTAGTCGCAGTGTGAATCCCGGTATGAGGGCGATCAGATGATGGACGGTTGAGATCACTAGTGACGTCATGACCATGATCCAGGGCAGCACACACGTCAGCACCGTAAGTAGATTCGGCAGCACAATCGCCGAGGCTGGTTCGCTCAACCCACACCTGACACATCTTGCACCGATCCACCTCCCGGACCAACGGCCCGTGACCAATCACAGAACGGAGGGCCACACTCTTCCCCATTGCCCATCGCTTCTCCTTCCCTTCTCCTTCCTCCTCAGTCCTGACCTTCATTCCAATAACACTCTTATTCTTAGCCTCCCCCATTTCCCAACATTCACCTGAAGAACCACCTGAGAATCTCTGGTGCAGACTCCAAGTTCTGTCCCCCTTACTCCATCGAGAGAACGCGGGTATGACTTGCCGCAAGCTCTGCTGCTTCGTCAGAACCAGCGCCCTCCACGTTACCTTACAACGCCGGTGCTGCCCCTCCATCCTCCCATTCCTCGCCCGCTTCGTCGCCCTCCCTCCCGGCGTCGTTCCCCGGCGTATCACCTTCCCGCAAGAGGGCATTCTTCGCCGGATCCTCGTTAGCACCATTCGCAAGCGTGAATCTCTCAGGCGCAGACGGCGATACTGACGTAAGGGCGAACCTCTCAGGCCGAATGGGCATGACGTGGATGCTGACGTCTCCTCTGCCACCGTGGCGGACGCTGACTCGGTTTCGTCAGAATCACCAGAAGTGATTGTGTCAGTCAGACTCGGAATTCTAGACGGTACTAGCATAGTTGTGCCAGTGGCAGCCGGTGGCGACGAGATCGGTGCTGAGTCAGCGGCAGTACCATCGCGTCGTCCATCCGCGCTCTCATGATGGGATGACGCATCAAGCTTCGGATGATTCGGATGCACGGCTTGCTCGCTCTCCCTGGCGGATTCTGAATCGGCGTTCGTGTTGAATTCGGCAATCTCAGGAAGCATTTCTGTAGTTCCCGTCGTCCCGTCAATCTCTGAAAGCATTTCTACGTTGGTGGCTGTATCGCTTCCCGTTTGAGCTTCCGGCTCGAAAGCGGCGCAACGAGACTCCTCCGCCAGGTGGTTACGGCTCGCGTCGAGTGATTGAGGGGGCGCGAGAGACTCGGCAGCAGCAGCAGCAGCAGCAGCGGCAGCGGCAGCGGCAGCGGCGGCGTGCGTTGACTGGCTTAAGGCAACGGCGGCAGTGGAATATGACGGAGAGATGAGCGTAGAGGCTGTCGCCTGATGCTGTGCGATCTGATCCCCGCTCTCGCCGCTTACCCCGCATGCCACGCCGTCTCTGGAGCGGCGACCGCCTTCCTTAAAATTCGGCGAAGGGCGCGTCACTAGTAGGCTCGCCAAAGCGATCATTCCGCGTCCGAACGTGGCGGAAAGGCTCGGAGGCATCGCGTGACAGTCTTACAGGACTTCCCGAAACCACGAGATATGATGTTGTTTGTCCTACAGTTGCGAGTAATGTATGGAGTGCGTTAGCGGATTGTCATTATGCGGCGTTTGCGTCGTCCTGTTGACTGGGCATGGCGTGAAGTGTAGAGAGATGAGGGATGCGATTACCGAATAACGCAGGAAGTGGAGATTTATTTGGCTGGGGGACATAGTTCAGGTCGGAGGCTCCAAGACGCGGTGCTGCGACGAGTTGTCGGGTGGGTAAGAAGACGGCTTTATGAATCTGGTGGGGTGGTAAGCGCCGTTGGGTTGTCCGAGAAGCGTGCGTGAGTCACTCCGAATGCCTGGAGTTGAGCTGTAATGAAATGGGAATTCGGGTCGCTGGGAATGTGGATGGTACCTCTCATGCGAAGTCGTGTACATGTTTGCGAATTGCTACCAGCGATTGTTTGACCCTTCGCGAAAACTGCAGCTGGCGGAGGAGAGTGTTCGTTTTCTGTCGCCAGAATTCGCATGACCGTGCCCTTTGACAGCTTTGACGTGGAATGATAAATGCTGCTGAGAAAGTTGGTTGGTGGCCGTGGTGGGATTGACATGGTGTACACATCCGCGACGCGTAGGCTCGAAGCGCTGTCTTTGGCGCGCTTAGGGTTGCCCGACAGGGAGAACCCACAAATTGACAGCGAAGCAGATCTGAGAACCACGTCATGCCAGCGAGGAGGAATCACCTGAGCCGTCAGATGAAGCATTCGTCAGATCTCGCCATTTGCGACATGAGGGAACAGCCAAACTTCGGTCAGCAGTTTCTTTGAACATAACCACCATCAGTCTCGCACGCAACCGCACGAGTTTGTCCCGGGTTATGCGGCGCAACGTGCGCGAACTAAGGTCATAACAGTATGCGATATGAGCATGCTCTGTAAACGCAAACAGAGGGGGTTAGCGATTGCAAGGAGCGCAGACATAGAATATCTGCTGCTGCAATCTTGCGAGGGAAGTGTGCTATAACACTCAGGCGAAGAGTCAGATTGCCGTCGTTAGCGAATCAACATAGATGCTGGGGTTGAAATAGCTCGCGGACATCGCAAATATGTCGCACACTCGCGGAAACACTTTCATGTTCTCTCGAGGTTGCCAAAATCCCTCGAAACCCACTGACACAGCCTCGAGATCTCCAACTATCCTGGGAATTCCAACATTAGAATCAAGGCCAAGCCGTTTCTGCTGTGTTCGTGAGCAAGTCCTTTCGCACACAACGCGCCTGCTAGCTCTGAATGCGCTGCGCTAACCATTTACCATACGTGCAGCCAATCCGAAACATTTTCGCCCATGTTGAGGCCTCGGTAGTTACAAAACATTAGTTGAGCTAGATTCGCGATTTACACGAACCGATCACGAGCCCAACCATTACTGCACGGAGCTGCGTAAGCGATGACGTGGGATGTGGACCCGCAATGGGAGGCAGGGCTCGGCCTCGTCGGAACTCTCTCCGCCATTGCTCTCTTCGTATCGCCCATGTGCGCCCATCATTCCCATCGCTCCCTCTCTCCTTTCCCGTCTATTTCTCCTTCTCCTATCGCATGACTCATATTCTCTCGACGTCACAGTCCTTACCGTCCCTTCGCTGACGTCGTTGGGGGAGGAGTAGAGCGCTTCTGCTCGCCATCTTTCGGTGCCTGCTTTCCAAAGGTTTCTCCAAGCCGTACACTCTTGTCTCTCTGCTTCTAATCGTTGGCTTTTTTCCCCTGTGAAATGAGCTTCTGCCTCCTGCCTTTTTCACTATTGCCTCCTGCCTCCTGCCTTTCTCCCTATTGTTCTTCCTTCCCAGTAAGACCTTCCAGCGGATTATCAGTAAAAGGAACACTGAAGACTTTCCGTCCTTCCCTTACGTCTCTACGTTTCTGAATTGCTTCGTGTGGACAATCTACGCCCTGCCGTTCGTCACGCCTAACCGCCTTCCGCCACTTATCACTAACGTTATCGGTGTTGTCTTCCAAGTGGTGTACCTTATTTTATTCGTGCGCTATGCGAAGGATAAAGCACAGGTGAGTCTACAGGGGTCATAACGCAGGCACTTGTCGAAGCTGTTACAGGCGCGTATGAAGGATAGTTACCATGCAGCCGTTAGTGTTGCCTTGGCCATAAATCAAATGCTATGTAACTGTTCAAAACAACTTCAAGGCGATCCACCTCACCCCATTGCACCCTGCTTCACCGGACTCCCCCCCCAACCCCCTGCATCCCACGCAGAGCCAAGTGCGGCAGCAGCTCCTGGCCCTGTCTGCCTTTCTGCTGCTCTTCTCCTCTCTGCTCTTCACTGCCGTCCCTCCTGCCAGCCGCAGTGCTGTAGCCGGCAACTTCGCCACCCTCTTCACTGTGGTCATGTTCGGGGCGCCTCTCTCCTCCCTGGTGTGCATCCCGTCCCTCGTGTCTTCTTTTGGCTAGTTCGTCAGGAACCTGACCTAGCTGGCACCTAGCTGGCACCCATTTGACAGAGCACTAACCCAGTTTGACCGTTGGCTTACCTTTTTAACACTTGCACCATCACTCTTTCATTCAAGTGTCCCACGAATCCCTCTCCTTCTTGCTGGGACCCTCATTCTCTATCATTGTTCAGTACAGTCTATTTCCTCACCCTTGTTGGGCATCTCTCCATCCACTGCGTCTTATGAAACGGCTCTGACTCATGCATTTTCTTATCGTAATGTGTGCTCGCATGTGTGTGCGTGTGCGTGCGTGCATGCGTGGGTGTGCGTGTGCATTGTGGGGAGCGCACACATGCCAGTCTGTGGTGCTCCGAACGCGCAGTGTGGAGTTCATGCCTCTGCCTCTGTCCCTCATGTCATTCGTTTGTAGCACATCATGGCTGGCCTACGGGGTCTATGTGCAAGACACTTATGTGATTGTAAGCTGTCAAGACTTCATATTTGCATTGTTCAAGCGTATCCAGAAGCTGCTCTTCAAGCCAGTTTTTCTTCTGGGCATTCTTGCTGTTACCATTTATTTGCTTCCTCTCTTTGCTTGCCACCGTGCTACATTCAGGTCCCAAACGCCCTAGGTTCACTACTTGGCATCATTCAACTCTGCATATACTATGCGGTTAGGTAATGGTTTAATGGCATGTTCTTGTGATTTGCGCATGGTGTGCATTCTTTTCTAATTCATTTATGGGCCTCTGTTTTTGTCTTTTCTGCAGCCGTGAGGGAAGAAGGAAGTCTGAAGACAATGCATTGGATGAGGAGAACATACCATTACAGGAGGTTATGTGAGTATAACAAGAGCCCATACGATTCTTATGTACCCTTAATATGGCATCTGAAATACTCATATAACCTCTTGTTCGTTGCAGGATGGTAGAGGCATCACGTGATTGAGGCTAAAATACATTGCAAAGCTATCATATATAAAGCTGACCTTTTTAAATTCAATAGTTGAAGCCTGCAGTAGTGCATTAGACCTCTCCACTAGGTGCGTTGTATCGAAGAAAGCTATCCTCCCAGCTACGAATGACGTGGCATGCGTGACACCCTCGTCACATCATCGCCGAAGCGAATCCAGTTGCGGCCACATGGCCAGCGGTAGACCTTTTCGGCAGGTGTTTTTCGCCAGCCAGCTTCGGTTGTTGCGACAGCATCCCCCCAATTGCGTTTGGTTTGGCTGGCTAGGTTCGGCAACAATTTGCGGCACATCTTGCAAGTGTACTGCCCGAAGCTTTAGCCTGAAGGCAAGTCTCAAGGCTCGGGAACTCCCCGAGCCATCTCAACAACCATGACATTTTCCTCGGCATCTGCTATTTAGGTGAACTTCAGTGCCTTGCTCCTCTCTTTCCTCCTCTCAATTTTATTTCCTCAGCTCAGACCTTGCAGCAAGGCTACCTTGCCTGATCATACTTATAGAAACCCTAATTCCGCCTGCTGCTTTACCTGCAGTTTTGCATAGCCTGTCCGCTGACGATATCGTCGATTCTCGTTCGTCTTCAAGCTTCGTACGTTGATGGCGGCTATCTGCTGGTGACAGACACAGGAAGGATTCCGAATTCGGGAATATGAACGTAAGATATATTCAAAGCCATGATAGATTAGGGACTAGTTTAGAACAGGCGATGCTAGATAATGCGATGTTTTCCGCCACGGATATACATGCCGTCAACCCGTTGCGCATGATTCGCGAAGCTGCTCAGTTATGACCGACCGGCCTCCCGGATCAGCACTTTTTCCTTTGTTATTGAACTGTTACTGACATCGATCACTCAAGGCTACCAGGGGTACCTAAGTCCTCGCAGCGACGTTTACTAGAATAAACCTCATAAACGACCGCTAGAATAAACACCGTCAATCTACTTACCTCCTGACACCTCCCATCCGTCACCATCGCTCAAAATGGACTCGAGAAAAACGAGCTCGCGGCTCCCGTCCCTCCGCGCTGTCGAGGAGGTGCTCCCGATGTACGCGCCGCGAATGCAGCTGGGGGCGGGCTCATTCGGGCGGGTGTTTCTGATGGAGCACCGGCAGACGGGCGGCAAGGTGGCGGTGAAGACGCTGAAGAAGGAGCGGATCGTGGAGCTGGGCATGCAGGACAAGGTCCGCCGGGAGATCAGCATTCTCCTGCGCGTGCGCCATCCCAACGTCATCCGCCTCTACAACGTCATTGAGACGCCCAAGTGAGCGCGCCTTTCCGTTTACGTCTTGACTTTCGAGTCGACTCTTAGAGTCGCATTCATCCGCGTATACAATATCACTGAAACGCCGAGGTGATTTCGCCTTCGACTTTTGAGGCGTCCCAATCGTAAACTCTACAATGGCATGGGAACGCCCAAGTGAGCTCGCCATTCAAGCCTGCCAGTTGTTCTGCCTTACCCAACACTGCGTCGCAACACCTGGTTCTGTCGCTCTCTAACGGTGTCCCCGGGGCGTCTCAGAGCCCGTGATGTCAGTTCCCCCGCCCTACATCACACAGCGTTCTCTTGTCAGAGCGTTCTCTTGTCCCCGTTATTAACTTGAGTCTAAACCCCCTTTCCCCCTTCTACACGCCCATCAGGTACATCCTGCTCCTTATGGAATACGCGGAGAACGGCGAGCTGTTCGACTACATCACGCAGCGCGGTCGTTTAACAGAGGGCGAGGCGCGGCGCATCTTCCAGCAGATCGTGGCGGGCGTGGAGTACTGCCACCGCCGCATGGTCGTGCACCGCGACTTAAAGCCCGAGAATATTCTCCTGGATGCCTCGTGGACCGTCAAGATCGCGGACTTTGGGCTGGGGAACCTCATGAGCGAGGGGCACTTCCTGCGGACCAGCTGTGGCTCGCCGAATTACGCTGCTCCCGAGGTGAGTACTGCCACGGCCCCATGGCCGTGCACAGAGGCCTCAAACCGGAAGTGAATTCACTGGACGCCTCGTGGACAGTCAAGATCGCGGACTTTGGGCTGGAGAACCTCATGAGCGAGGGACACTTTCTAAGGGCCAGCTGTGGGTTACCGAATTACGCTGCTCCCGAGGTGGGTGTTAGCTGTGCTTGTTGTGCCTGCCGCTCCCATCGATTGGGGAGCCTTACAAGCGGGGGGCACTTCTCGAGGACCAGCTGTGGCTCGCCGAATCACGCTGCGCTACGACGGGGGTGATAAGAAAGATGGGGGGGGGGGGGGGGAGTGGTATGCCATGTTTTAGAGGGTCGTTCCACGCGATGGGCAGTGCCAAGGAATGCATGACCAGCGTAGGGTCACATGCGCTTCACCCCACGATAGGCCGGAGGGGAGAAAAGCGAGGGGCGGGGGCTGTGGGTGTCCCTCCCACCCCCCATCCGCCACTTTCCCCTTTCTCTCACTCGCCCTCTGACATTCCATCCCTGTTATTTCATGTGGTCAGCGGCGAAAAGGGATGGAATGTCATGGCCGCTGATCCCCCCATCCCTGTTATTTCATGTGGTCAGCGGCGAAAAGGGATGGAATGTCATGGCCGCTGATCCCCCCATCCCTGTTATTTCATGTGGTCAGCGGCGAAAAGGGATGGAATGTCATGGCCGCTGATCCCCCCATCCCTGTTATTTCATGTGGTCAGCGGCCGTTTCTACTCCTGCCCCGACGTGGACGCTCGCGTGGGGCTGTGGGGTCATGCTCCACACGCTCCTCTCTGTCAACCAATCCCCTCCTCCCCCACCTCTCCCCACTTGCGCCCCGCAGGTCGTCAGCGGTCGTTTCTACTCCGGGCCCGAGGTGGACGTGTGGGGGTGCGGGGTCGTGCTCTACACTCTCCTCTCTCCCGCCCACCCTCCCCCTTCTAATATATTGTCCATCCATCCCCTCCCCCCTCCCCTCTCCCTGCAGGTCATCAGCGGTCGTTTCTACTCCGGGCCCGAGGTGGACGTGTGGGGGTGCGGGGTCGTCCTCTACACTCTCCTCTGCGGGCGCCTGCCCTTTGACGAGAAGTCCCACGTGGCGCTCTACCAGAAGATCAAGGCGGGCGCCTACTCCCGCCCCACCCACGTCACCCCGGCCGTCCAAGACCTCCTAGCGCGCCTCCTAGTCGTCGATCCCACCATGCGCGCCACCATCCCCGAGATCCGACGGCATCCGTGGTTCCTGCCCTGGTTCCTGCCGTCCGATCTGATTCGTTTGCAGGAGGACACGGCCGCGGGGCGGCCGGCGGCGCCGTTACAGCTGAACGCTACAGCCATTTCGAACCTGCAGGCTGTGAGGTTGACTGGGGAGGGGCGGGCGGTTCTGGCTGGGAATTGGGTGCAGGAGGCCTTCGCTGCTAGGTTCGCTGGTGCTGCTGGGGGGGATGGGGGCGCTGGTGGTGGCGGGTTGGGAGGGGATGGGAAGAAGGGGAGGGGAGCGGGGGAAGGGGGAGGGGGAGGGGGACATGGGGGGGCGCAAGGGCAGCAGGGGCATGGGCAGGGGCAGCAGGGGCAGAAAGCGCTATGGACGGAGGATGGGCAGTTACTGCAGCGGATATGGGGGAGGGCGAATTGGACCCCTGCCATGCCCTTATTCCAAGCCTCGGGCACCAGTACCGTCGCTGCTGCTGCTGCCCCCCTTGCTGCTGCCGCCACTGCCGCCGCCAGCGCTGCAGCCGCCGCTGCTGGCGCCAACGCCACAGCCGCTGCTGCCGCAGCCTCTGGTGCTGCTGCCGCCACAGCCGCTACCGGCGCTGCTGGAAGCACAGCAGCAGCGGCAGCCGCGTCCGCTTCAGCAGCAGCAGCCGCAGCAGCCAACTCGGCGAACGCGGCAGCGACAACAGCAGGCCACGCAGCAAATGTGATCGCAGCAGCAGCGGGTGCGAACCCGCCCATGCCAGCAGCCACCACAGGAGCCACCAAGTGGTGGGACGCAGCCATGCGGGTGTGTATAGCCCTCCACCGGTCCGGCGCTAAGTGGAAAAGAAAACCCCCGTCAAACCCCTCGGCCTCCTCGTCTGCCTCCTCAGGGCCCTATATTCTCCTCTGCTACGCGCCCTACCCGCCTGTAGCCACAGCCCTTCGGTACCAGGGGTGCTTAGAGGCGGCTGTAGCGGCTGTAGCCGAGGAGGCGGAGCTGCAGAGACGGCGGCAGCAGCAGCAGTACAGGTGGCGCGCTGCTATTAGCGAGCGCGTGGAGAAACGGCAGAGGGGCGGGGTAGCCGCCCTGCTGTCACTCTCCCCGCCCAGACCCCTCACAGGGTCGCTGTCCTCCCCTGTGCTTATAGAGCAGGCGATTCCGTCCGCCACCTCGTTTGAAGCACTTGCTGCGGCCCAGAAGAAGCTGGCTCAAGGGGGGGGCCCTGCTGCTGCCGCTGCTGCGGCGGTTGCTGCTGCTGTGGCCGCTGCTGCCGCGGCAGGTGCAGGGGTGGGTGGTTTTACGCGGTTGAGTGCGCTTGGTGGTGGTGGTGGCTATGGGGTGGGTGCAGGGGTAGGGTTTGGTGATGGGGTTGGAGGGGGTACTTCTCCCTCTACTCCGTCCTCCTGTAACGTGTCTCTGTCTTTGGCGCTAGGGAGCAGCCGGAGCAGCAGTAATGGGAGCTCCACCGGGGGTGGTGTTGCGGTGGGGACTGGAAACGGGGGAGGTTTTGTGAACGGGCCCAATGGAGCGACTCTAGATCACCTGGTGCACGCGCAGCAATTGCAACTGCAGCAGCAGCAACACCAGCTACAGCAGCAGCAACACCAGCTACAGCAACAGCAGCAGCAGCAGCAACAACAGCAACAGCAGCAGCAGCAGCAGCCGCAGATTTTCCAGCAGCAGCAACTGTTGCAGCAGCAGCAGCAGTGGCAGCGGCACCAGCTGATGCTGCAGCAGCAGCAGCAGCAGCAACAGCTGCAGCAGCTCCAGCAGGAGCAGATGCGCGAGAAACTCCGCCTCTTCAGCCAAATCCTTGAGAAATCCGGGCCCATGGGGGCAGCAGCAGCGTCTGCAGGTCTCCATGACGCAACAGTAGCAGCGGGGCTGCGAGACACCAGTACCCGTGCCGCCGGCGGGGGCGAACTGAGCCTAGGTGTCAAGGGGATGGATGATAGGGAGTGCTCTAGTATGGGGGGGACGGGGGGGGACTGTGGGGAAGGGATGCGGGAGCCTGGAGCGGGGCGAACAGGCGGAGCAGGGGAAGGGGCAGGGGGAGGGGTAGGTGCAGGCGCTGGGGCTGTTTTGACTAGTATAGCACCGGGGAATGGAGCAGGGATGGGGCTAGGCCTAGGGCAAGGGCAAGGGGCAGGAGGAGCAGGGGCGACAAGTCTGACCAGCCTAGCGCTCGAGAGCATGGGGGCGTCAGCAGCAGCGTCAGCTGCAGCGGCGGCGGCAGCGGCAGCAGCGGGGGATGGGCTGAGGTTTGAGGTGATGCTGCTGCAGAACGCCAAGGGGGAGAGCCTGCTGGACCTGTGCCTCCTGTCGGGGTCGTCTGCTGCGTTTGCCGACTTCTGCGCGCTATTCTGGCACCAGGTGTCGCAGGTTTGAAGGTGCTTCTCAAGGTGACCCAAGGAACCGGACGGGCCGAGAGGTTTGAGGTCATGCTGCTGCAGAACGCCAAGGGGGAGAGCCTGCTGGACCTGTGCCTCCTGCCGGGGTCCTCTGCTGCCTTTGCTGACTTCTGCGCTCCCTTCTGGCACCAGGTGTTGCACGTGTGACTGGCAGCTGCGTTGGATGGTTGCTTAGGGGGGAAGGAGGGGGGGGATGGATAGTGCAGGAGCCTGCTGGATTTCTCTGCGTGTTGTCGGGGTGGGCTGCTGCCTTGGGTGACAACTGCGCTCTCGTCTGGCACCAGCTGTGGCACGTGTGAGTGAGGATAATAGCATCCGGTGACAGCTTTGCCTCGCTTTGAGGCGCCTCAGAGCTGTCGGTGGCTTTCGGTGGCAGCATTCGGTAGGATTCGCCTCTGCTGGCTGCAGCTGTCCCATGTGTGCCACCTTTGGTGCACTGGGAAGGGGTAGATGATGTGGTCATGTGGTCACCATGTGACAGCAGTGCGTGCTGCTGCTGTGCTTAGGCCAACAGGGAGGGAAGGTGGGGGGCAAAGCCACAACTGTCCCCCCTAGTGCTCTCTGCTCTGTGCTCTCTGCTCTGGAGCGGAGTTATGTCACACTGGTAGGTACTGTAGTCCATGGATGCCCTTGCTAACTGGCTGGTAGGATGACTTTGCCATGTGCCCTGTGCTTTACTTTATTGGCACTCTTGTAGAGCATGTTCACGTGCGATTGTTATAAATTCTCATAGACTTGCCAGCCATGACGCCCAGGCACAATCGGAGAGCACAAGGGATAAACGCAGCAAATGGCAAATGCTTTCGGTTCGGTTCGGAGCCTGAAGGAAGTTCTTGTGAGCACCTGACCTGACTAGACCTTCACAGCAACGGACATGACATGCCATGCCATGCCATGCCACCTTCTGGTGTGGCGCACGCCACAGTACAGCAGAAATCCATTGCAAATGAACAAGGGAAGACGGTGATTCATTCGCCCTAGCAAAACCATCCACTCGGTGCAGGCATGCAGGGCCATGCCCGCGTGCCTATGATAGGTGCACCAACTTGTGATAAGCAGTCGTGAAGGCCGCCGCATCCGGCAGCGAGTGGCACGCCTTCCAGTGGATTGAGGAGAGCAGCGTGGTGTCGTTCACCTGGGAAGACAAGTGAGGGGCAGAGTGTGGGCAATGGAGGCGTGGGAGGGGAGGGGGGCGGGGGAGGATGCTTGAGAGATGAATGAGAGGCAGGCAGCAGCATCCGGCAGCGAGTGGCGCGCCCTCCAGTGGATGGAGGAGAGCAGTGTTGTGACGTTCACCTGGGAAGAGAGTGAGGGGGCGGGGGGGAGGAGGGGGAGGAGGGGGGGGAGGGGGGGGAGGGGGGGAGGGGGAGGAGGGGGAGGAGGGGAGGAGGGGAGGAGAGGGGGGGGGAGGAGGGGAGGAGGGGGAGAAGGGGGAGGATGGGGAGGAGGGGGAGAAGGGGGGAGGGGGAGGAGGGGAGGAGGGGAGGGGGGGATGTTTGAGAGATGAACGAAGGACAGGCAGGCAGGAGGGAGTGGCATGCCTTCCAGAGGAGGGAGGGAGGAGGGAGGGAGGGTGGTTGTGCTGTTCAGCTGGGAAGGAAGAGGGGAAGGCGGAAGGGGAGGTTGAGGGGTGTGCGAGGGGAGCCAGTGTCTGTGAAACCATTGGTTGGGGTCGATATCTGGTACTGTATTCACGAATCACCCATCTCCGCACGTATTTGCAGTGTGCCACCCACCTCAAGGGCGTACCTGCAGTGTGCCACCCACCTCAAGAGCGTATCTGCAGTGTGCCACCCACCTCAAGAGCGTATCTGCAGTGTGCCACCCACCTCAAGAGCGTATCTGCAATCTGCCACCCACCTCAAGAGCGTATCTGCAATCTGCCACCCACCTCAAGAGCGTATCTGCAGTGTGCCACCCACCTCAAGAGCGTATCTGCAATCTGCCACCCACCTCAAGAGCGTATCTGCAGTGTGCCACCCACCTCAAGAGCGTATCTGCAGTGTGCCACCCACCTCAAGAGCGTATCTGCAGTGTGCCACCCACCTCAAGAGCGTATCTGCAATCTGCCACCCACCTCAAGAGCGTATCTGCAGTGTGCCACCCACCTCAAGAGCGTATCTGCAATCTGCCACCCACCTCAAGAGCGTATCTGCAGTGTGCCACCCACCTCAAGAGCGTATCTGCAGTGTGCCACCCACCTCAAGAGCGTATCTGCAGTGTGCCACCCACCTCAAGAGCGTATCTGCAATCTGCCACCCACCTCAAGAGCGTATCTGCAGTGTGCCACCCACCTCAAGAGCGTATCTGCAATCTGCCACCCACCTCAAGAGCGTATCTGCAGTGTGCCACCCACCTCAAGAGCGTATCTGCAGTGTGCCACCCACCTCAAGAGCGTATCTGCAGTACGCCAGCCAGAGATCAGCACTGAGCGATCCGAATCGCTCCAAGGCCGAGTCAAAGAGTCGCTCCACCCGCCCCTCCCTCCCTCTCGCACTCCCTTGCCCTTTCTGCTCCGCCTTCCCCCCCTGCTCGCCCTCCCACTCCCGCTCCAACTGGATGGCGTGCAGGTAGAGGCGCTCCGACGCAAAGGGCAGGGAGAAGAACCTGCGGAGTGCGAGGAAGAAAGAGGAAGAGAAGCTTGTGAAGGAGAGAGGGCTGGAGGGAGCCACATGGGGCACGTGAAGACTGGTGGAAGTCAATGAGGGAAAGAGACGAAAGAGCCCGATAAAGTGTTCAACTTGCATTCAGCTGCCGGGCGGCAGGAAATCCAAATCTCATCATGGTGCCTGGCTTGTGAGCGGTTCACTGCAGAGCACTGCAGGCTTGTGCTTGAAACCGCAGAGCACTGCAGGCTTGTGCTTGAAACCGCAGAGCACTGCAGGCTTGTGCTTGAAACCGCAGAGCACTGCAGGCTTGTGCTTGTAACCGCAGAGCACTGCAGGCTTGTGCTTGAAACCGCAGAGCACTGCAGGCTTGTGCTTGAAACCGCAGAGCACTGCAGGCTTGTGCTTGAAACCGCAGAGCACTGCAGGCTTGTGCTTGAAACCGCAGAGCACTGCAGGCTTGTGCTTGAAACCGCAGAGCACTGCAGGCTTGTGCTTGAAACCGCAGAGCACTGCAGCGCTGCCACCAGGTGCCTGGCTTGTGAGCGGTTCATCTGTAGGAAAGGGAGAGGCATGCGTCAACGGCAAGAGATAGAGATGAGAAGACCCGCCTCGCGTACAGCTGGCGGGCAGGACTCACCTTGTGTACAGCTGGCGGGCGGCAGCGGTTCCGAATCTCCTCTTGGCGACTGAGAGTGCGGCGCACTGCAGCACTGCCACCAGGTGCCTGGCATGTGCCGCGTCGTCGGAACCAGCGCCAGCACTAGGCGAGGTGCAGAGGGAGGAAGTTGTCGGGGCAGCAGCAGCAGCAAGCGGAGATGGTGCAGGGGAGGAGGAGGAGGAAGAGAGTAGGGTCTTGGGGGAGCCCATGGTTGCTGCTGCTGACATGAGGGAGTCGATGATGGCCTGTAGAGACGCCAGGCTTGGGGCACACTCGACTTGCTGATTCGGGAGAGAGGGAGGGGAGGGGAGGGAGGAAAGGAGATGAAGAGAGTTTTTGCGAGCTTGTGACTGCTGCTGACGCGAGGGAGGCGATGGTGGCCTGCAGCGAGGCGAGGCTTGGGGCTGACTGCACTTGCTGCTTTGGGAGACGGAGAGAGGTGGGAAGGGCGGGAAGGGCGGGAGGGAGAGAGAAAGGAGGGCAACGAAGAGAGCTTGTGGCTGCTGCTGACACCGGGGAATGATGGTGGCTAGCAGCGATGCCAGACTCGGGGCACAGGGGGGGATGCATAGCACGCACCTCCATCCACCCTAGCACATAGCACGCACCTCCATCCACCCTAGCACATAGCACGCACCTCCATCCACCCTAGCACATAGCACGCACCTCCATCCACCCTAGCACATAGCACGCACCTCCATCCACCCACTAGCACATAGCACGCACCTCCATCCACCCTAGCACATAGCACGCACCTCCATCCACCCTAGCACATAGCACGCACCTCCATCCACCCTAGCACATAGCACGCACCTCCATCCACCCTAGCACATAGCACGCACCTCCATCCACCCTAGCACATAGCACGCACCTCCTCCACCCTAGCACATAGCACGCACCTCCATCCACCCTAGCACATAGCACGCACCTCCATCCACCCTAGCACATAGCACGCACCTCCATCCACCCTAGCACATAGCACGCACCTCCATCCACCCTAGCACATAGCACGCACCTCCATCCACCCTAGCACATAGCACGCACCTCCATCCACCCTAGCACATAGCACGCACCTCCATCCACCCTAGCACATAGCACGCACCTCCATCCACCCTAGCACATAGCACGCACCTCCATCCACCCTAGCACATAGCACGCACCTCCATCCACCCTAGCACATAGCACGCACCTCCATCCACCCTAGCACATAGCACGCACCTCCATCCACCCTAGCACATAGCACGCACCTCCATCCACCCTAGCACATAGCACGCACCTCCATCCACCCCTAAGCACATAGCACGCACCTCCATCCACCCTAGCACATAGCACGCACCTCCATCCACCCTAGCACATAGCACGCACCTCCATCCACCCACATAGCACGCACCTCCATCCACTAGCACTAGCACCTCCATCCACCCTAGCACATAGCACGCACCTCCATCCACCCTAGCACATAGCACGCACCTCCATCCACCCTAGCACATAGCACGCACCTCCATCCACCCTAGCACATAGCACGCACCTCCATCCACCCTAGCACATAGCACGCACCTCCATCCACCCTAGCACATAGCACGCACCTCCATCCACCCTAGCACATAGCACGCACCTCCATCCACCCTAGCACATAGCACGCACCTCCATCCACCCTAGCACATAGCACGCACCTCCATCCACCCTAGCACATAGCACGCACCTCCATCCACCCTAGCACATAGCACGCACCTCCATCCACCCTAGCACATAGCACGCACCTCCATCCACCCTAGCACATAGCACGCACCTCCATCCACCCTAGCACATAGCACGCACCTCCATCCACCCTAGCACATAGCACGCACCTCCATCCACCCTAGCACATAGCACGCACCTCCATCCACCCTAGCACATAGCACGCACCTCCATCCACCCTAGCACATAGCACGCACCTCCATCCACCCTAGCACATAGCACGCACCTCCATCCACCCTAGCACATAGCACGCACCTCCATCCACCCTAGCACATAGCACGCACCTCCATCCACCCTAGCACATAGCACGCACCTCCATCCACCCTAGCACATAGCACGCACCTCCATCCACCCTAGCACATAGCACGCACCTCCATCCACCCTAGCACATAGCACGCACCTCCATCCACCCTAGCACATAGCACGCACCTCCATCCACCCTAGCACATAGCACGCACCTCCATCCACCCTAGCACATAGCACGCACCTCCATCCACCCTAGCACATAGCACGCACCTCCATCCACCCTAGCACATAGCACGCACCTCCATCCACCCTAGCACATAGCACGCACCTCCATCCACCCTAGCACATAGCACGCACCTCCATTCACCCTAGCACATAGCACGCACCTCCATCCACCCTAGCACATAGCACGCACCTCCATTCACCCTAGCACATAGCACGCACCTCCATTCACCCTAGCACATAGCACGCACCTCCATCCACCCTAGCACATAGCACGCACCTCCATTCACCCTAGCACATAGCACGCACCTCCATCCACCCTAGCACATAGCACGCACCTCCATTCACCCTAGCACATAGCACGCACCTCCATCCACCCTAGCACATAGCACGCACCTCCATTCACCCTAGCACATAGCACGCACCTCCATTCACCCTAGCACATAGCACGCACCTCCATCCACCCTAGCACATAGCACGCACCTCCATTCACCCTAGCACATAGCACGCACCTCCATCCACCCTAGCACATAGCACGCACCTCCATTCACCCTAGCACATAGCACGCACCTCCATCCACCCTAGCACATAGCACGCACCTCCATCCACCCTAGCACATAGCACGCACCTCCATCCACCCTAGCACATAGCACGCACCTCCATCCACCCTAGCACATAGCACGCACCTCCATCCAGTAATCCACCAGCTTTGGGTGGCCCCAGTTCCCAATGCGAACCGGGCCTGATGACCCCCCTGCTGCTGCTGCTGCCCCTCCTGCCGCTGTTCTTCTTCCTGCTCCTGTTCCGGCTCCCACTCCTGCTCCCACTCCTGCTACTGCCATCACACCAGCCACCTCCTTCCCCCCGCCTCTCCTCCTCCGCACCCTCCTCTCTGCTTCCCTCTCCAGCGCCCACACCCCAGCCATCACCACCCCCCCACTCGCCTCCAGCACCTTCCTCGCAGCTTCCAGGGCCTCCTCAGCCCGCCCAGCGCGCAGCAGAAGCGCCACGTGTCGCTCCACGATTGGCTCCTCCCCACCCAGCTGCCGAGCCTGCGCTAGGGCCATCACTGCATTGCCTCGTGACACCAGGTCGGCCAGGGGGAGCCCTTCCCGCTCCACACCCCCCTCCTCCCCGCCTTCAGTTTCCACATCTTCGTGCCCCTCCTCTGCCCCCTCCCCAGACCCTCTCTCTCCCTCCTCTTCCTCGCCATATGCCTTTCCTCCGGTGACCAGCCGCGTGAGGAAGTCCAGGTAGGCGCAGCAGAGCGAGGAGAGGGACGACGAACCCGGCTGCTGCTGCTTCTGCCTCTCAAGAGCGTCTTCGAACACCTGAGAGCACCCACAAGGTACGTGGACGGATATAGTGAACACCACTTAGGTGACACGGGTATTTACTTGGCAGCAACTGTGAAAACGCCAAAGTAAAAATGTTGTAGAAGAGCTTGCTTGAAAACCCTTGTGAAATTTTCATGGTACCACCTGCGAAGCACGCACAAGGGACGTGGACGGACATAGGTGAGGTCATTTCAGGCGGTTTTCAAGGCGCCTCAAAAGACCAGGCGACTTTTGAGTCGACTCAAAAGTCACCTAGGCGCCTCAAAAGACCAGGCGCACACAGAGCAGACCAGCTCGGGGCATTTGAAGATCAAACAGCTCTCACCTTCAACCCCTCCTGTGCTGCCCCCCCTTCTCACCTTCAACGCGCCTCTCTCCGCCTCCTCCCAACTCACCCACCCTCCCTCCTCTCCTCTCTCTCCTCGCCCTCCTGCCCCCCTCCGCCCGCGCCTCATCCACCGTCTCGCCAGCACTTCTAGCACAGTGGCACTGCCAGGGAAGGCGCCGGCCATGCCCGCACACACCTCCGTCTCCACCCCCCCCAGCCCCAGTATTCTCACCACCCGCCGCCTCGCCTGCCCGCCCCTTCCTTTCCCACTTGCTTCCTTCGCGCTCCGCTCCCCTTTCTCCTCCTCTCCTCCTTCCTGCTTCTCCTCCTCCACTTCGTCTTCCTCTCCTTCCTCGTCGTTCTCCTCCTCCTCCTCTTGTCCGCTGCCTGCTCGAAGGGCGTCCAGCAGGGCCACTCGCAGCAGCAGATCCTTGGGATTCGATTTGATTGCGTTACGGCAAACCACAGTCGCCACCCGCACTGCCAGCTCATCACTTTGACCCAATCCGCCACTCCCATCAGCTTTATTTTCAACCACCTTTTCATCCTCCCCCTCTGCCATCCCCCCATCCTTCCCTGCACCATGTGCCTTTTCCTCTCCCTCTTTTCCTCCTCCTCCCTCTCCCTCTTCTCCTCCCCCCTCCTCCTCCTCTATCCCCAGTAGCAGCTGCCTCGCTTTAAGCTTCCGTGCATACACCAGCTCCATCCGCAAATACTCGCTCCACAGCAAACGGGACGACTCCAGAATCCGGGCAGGCACAATCGAAATGTTTCCAGCCTCGGAAATCGTCACCCCTGCCTGCCCCACACCTGCCCCTAACCCCGCCCCTCCTGTCCCTCCCCCTGACCCTCCCCCGGCTTCCCCCGTTCCCCCCGCTCCCCCCGCGCCCCCAACGCTCCCCCTGTCTCCCCCTGCGATGAGCTGCGGGCAGCACATGCGCAGCCCCCGCTGCAGCAGCGTGCGCGCAGCAGGCGCGTTCACGCGCTGGTTGAACTCGTAGGACGCCGCGTACAGCCACAGGGAGGGCTCCGTGGGGTGCAGCTGTAGGGCGCGTGCCATGGCCTGTAGAGGGGGGGGGGAGGGGAGAATGCAGGGGGCGGGGAGACAGGGGCTACTCAAAACCCCGCAGTAGACTCAGGTCGCCCTAATACCCCTGACATCTTCACAAACCCCCTGAGTGCTGCATCGGTTGCGTTGAACCAAACGCCTTGCAGAGCGCTAACTATTTCACCCACAGGTCCACATCGCCCTAAAACCCCTGCTCACCCCCCAAAACCCTGACACCTGCTTAAACCACTTCTGACAGCTGCTTAAACCCTTTCTGACACCTGCCTTCTAACCGTCTCACTTTCTGCATCCGCTGCCTGGATCCACACGCCTTGCAGAACTCTAACTGACTCATCCACAGGTCGAGGTCGCCCTTTAGCCCCTGCTCGCTCCCCTCACAATTGATAAACCCCGCTTAAACCCCTCCTCCCCCTCTTCCCCTCTGCCTTACTTTCTGCATCTGCTGCCTTGACCCAGACGCCTTGCAGAACTCGAGGTACTTCATCCACAGGTCCAGGTCGCCCTTGAACCGCCGCGTGGCGCGCGAGAAGATGAACAGCACGCGCTTGATCACCGCCACGTCACTCGCCCTCTCCGCCGCGCGCTGCCGCCTGTACCACTCGCGGCTGCCCTGCCGCCCCTTGCGCTGCAGCACGGCGTCCGCGCGCTGGCGGAAAGCCTGGGCGCGCGGGAGGGGGGCAAAGAGGGGGGAGGGGGGTTTATGGCCCGACAGTACCACTCGCGGCTCCCTGCCGCCCATTGCGCCTCAGCACCGCACTTGCGCGCTGGAGGAGGGCCTTGGGGGGCGGGGGAGAGAGGCGCTGGGAGAGGGGGCGAAATAGTGCAGAGGGGAGAAACGGGGGAATGCCAGCATCGTTCCTCTCTGTTGGCCGCTCTCTGGGTGCAACGTGCAACTGTGGTAAGTAAGAAAGCCGAATACGAAGCAGGCACTGCGGAAGACTAGGTGCCTGACGAATAATGGGTGCCCACTCTAAGGACGTCTCTAAAATACCTGCAAGTACGTAGTACCTGGCGGTGGTTCGGGTCTCTCCGCCGCAGCTGGCGCAGCGCCTCGAGCTGCATCTCGTACTCCACGTATCGCATGTAGTCGTCCTTAATCGCCGCGTTCCCGCGCCGCCTGAGGCGGTACTCGAAGGCGGTGCGGCGGCGCACGATCTCTTTGATCTCGGCGCGCGAGAAGAGCCCTTGCTTCTCGAGGCTGTCGAGCTCCGGCAGCATGCGCTCTAGCACCGTCTGCACCGTGTCCGCCATGGCGCCAAGCGGCTGGGGGCACACTCTAGGGGAAACCGAGGAGGGGAAACTGGAGAAAAGGGGGAACGCAGTCTAAGTTGTGTTTTACTATCATTAATGTTTACTAAACATGCGAAACGTGGTTTCGTGGTGTAGTTGGTTATCACGTCAGTCTAACACACTGAAGGTCTCCGGTTCAAGTCCGGGCGAAGCCAATCTGGGTTTTTTCCTGTCACTCCCTAGGGAGCCTTACACAATGCTATTCCCCTTTTTTGTCTTTCCGTCATCTGCTCGTGTCCGCTCGTGCAGCCGTCTGCTTCGATCAGTAGTAAGGCGTGAAGTGAGGTGACGTGGCGTGATGTGCGGTGAGGTGTCGAGTGTCCGTCCATGGCTCCAACGACGTGCGGCGTTTGCGGTGGCGATGCGAATCCCGCCAAGCTGCGATCGTGCAACACTTGCGACACCGTCGCGCGCCACACGTAATGCGACACATGCGACAATGTCGCACGCGGCCGTGCAGACGGTCGCAGAACCGTTCGTCAATCAATTGTGGCGAGGATCGCCTAGATGGATCTGACGATGAGATTCTGATCGGAAATACCTTGGCGTTTTAGGGTGTATTTAGATTTCATCTCGTTTGTAGGAATATCCGCTGTATAAGCACATCGCTTTAACCTCACATCGCATTGGCTGCAGGTACTGCTTGGGGCGAGTGAACCTGTCCACGTGGCAGTGCAGCAGATGCATCCGCTTGGGCGTGCCTCTTCCTGGTGCTGACGCGGAGACCCTGATCGCTTACGTGGACGACCTGCTCGATGGCGTGGACAATCTGGAAGCTGGTGATTCTATTGAAGGTGAAACTAACGGTGGAGGAGCGGCAAAGGGAGAGGGAGGAGGAGGAGGCGAAGAGGGAGGAGGAGAGGGAGGAGGTAGAGGAGTGAAGAATGGAACAGAAGCAGGCGCAGAAGCAGAGGCAGAGTGGAGGACAAGGGAAGGCGCTGGAGTGGGACGAGGGGAGCCCATGGCCGTTCTACCCGTGACCATTGATCTGGATCTAACAGCTGACAAAGATGAACCAGAGGATCAAGATGTAACAGCTGATCAAGATGTAACTCCTGATCAAGATATGACTGATCAAGACGCAACGGCTGTAGCAGATGCAGCTGAATGTGCCGATAAATATGCTGCTGCTGTAGCAGCTGTAGCTGGTTCACTTACTGTGCCTGCATCCGGTCCTTCTTTAACTGCTATCCCTGTGGAGTCAACCATTCCTCTGACTGCGCATCCGAGCATTCGCTCTGGCAGCAGTCAGCACGGGAGTGCAGCTGCTCCCAGCGCAGGTGTGTCGCCTGCTGCTCTCAGTGTCAGCGGTTGGGCCGCCATTGACCCTCGTGCCACCAGTGACGCCCATGCTGGCATTCCTCGTGCCTCACCTCTGAGTGACCAAGCAGCTGCTGGCCCCGCTTACAGCGATGCACGTGTGGCGTATCACGCCCAGGGCCTTCAATTCCCTGTGTTGGGTGCTCTCTACCCCCAGCCGCCTCACCTGCTGCCTCGATCGGCCGCCCCCTCCCTGCCGTTTCATGCCCAGCCGTTCTGGAGGTGAGCAGATGAAAGGGGATGTGTCTCAGTCGACTCAGATCGAATCTACAACCTGCCGTTCCCTCTTCCTGCCCTGCCACTTGACGCGCAGCCGTCCTGCTTTTGAGGCGCCTCAAAAGCGCGTGCAGCCGTTCTGGAAGTGAGAGGGAGGAGAGTGGGCGCGGGGGTGTAGGTTAGCAGAAAGCTTAGACTCTGATGCACGCCTGGTTCAGCAGCTGAACACACTCTTCTCTCCCTCCTTGTTTCCACCTCCCCTCCACTCATTCCTCCCTCTCCCCCTCCCTCTCCCCCCCCAGGGGTTCTCTCTTCATCGCCACAACAGACTCCGGCCTCCTTCCGCTCGGCCCTGCATGCGCCCATCTCTCCCTCATTGCCGTCAGCCAGGTGTCGCTTGCTGCTGATGCACTCGCCCACCTGGCTGCCACCACTGCCATCCCTACTGCTGCAACTACCACTGCACCCACTGCCACTGCTGCCACTGCTGCCACTGCTGCTGCCCATTCCAGTGCTGCTGCTGCTGCCGAACCCCCTCCCGCTGGTGCTCCCTCTGGTTCTCCCTCCGCTGCTCCTTCCGGTGCGCTCATACTGCAGGAGAGCCGTCGCAGCGACCCCGGGGCGTGGCCCGCTGCATTCACTCACGCCATGCACTCGCCCTCTGGAATCACCTTCTCTCATGCTGGCATCTACATTCTGGGGGAGGAAGGAGTGCGGGGTGGTGGGGGGACTGGGGATGGTGGAGATGGTGGTGCAGGGGATGCGTTTGCAGCGTATGTGGATGGTCGGATGCAAGCCCATGATATGATGTGTGATGTGGTAGTGCCTGAACTGGCTCGAGTCAGCATCTTTTCGCCTCATCTCATGTCCCCTTGGTGTCAGAGTAAGTGGGTGCTCTCTGTTATCGCCTCTTTTGCTGTCCTTCTGCCTTATGCATTTTCTGCCTCCATTCCTCTCCTGATCTGCCTTGTATACCTGCATCGTTGCCTCACTTCCTCTCACCCCTGCATCGTTGCCTCACTTCCCCTCACCCCTGCATCGTTGCCTCACTTCCCCTCACCCCCCGCATCGTTGCCTGCAGGCACAAGTTCCTCTTTCTGAGAACATCCAGGAAGTCACTTCCCCTCACTCCCCACCTCATTGTCTGCATGACACGCAGGTGCTCTCAGCCGGCCATTTCTCTGGGCCGTCTGCCGCAAGCTTGCCACATTTCAACAACACCAGCAGCCACAGCAGCAGCAGCAGCAGCAGCGGTAGCAGGGGTAGGAGTCTATTTTTGAGGCGCCTCAAAAGCAGCGGTAGCAGCAGGAGCATGTACGTTTTGAGGCAATGCAGCTGCTGAAGCACATTTCACAAGGCAGCAGCACTGGGTTTCGTCAGTCACCATCAGCTGTGGCTACAAGCATAATTTCTCCTGGGTTAGAGTTATATAATTCAGATGACCAAATATTATCCGGTTTGTGTTGCACAATTCAATCCAGACCAGATTGTTCATGGTTCCAGGCAATATTCCAAACTCTGCCACCCTGAATTGTTTCATTTGTTGGTACAGAAGCATTCCCACGCCATCCAACTTAAACAGCTCTCTGATTTATATGATTACTCATATAAACTGCATACATCGTATACCAGCAGCACGAGCATCAGCACCCACCAACACCCAGAACACAACCCCCCTCCTGCATCCTGCATCCCCTCTGAGCACTCACCAAGCTCACCCTGCCCGTCCATGAAACCAGTGTCAAAGCCTCTCGCAGCACCGAAGCAGCGCCGAAGCAGCAGCGTGGCTGGCTATTCGAGCTCAAACTTCCCACTCACATCCTCCCCCGATGGCAGGCCCACATGGCCTCGGTACGATTCCACATCTGCGACCATTGCATTCACCAGATCAGCCACCGGGGGATTCACGTTCGCCCAATAACCCGTTGCCGCGTAGCTGTAGCACGTGCCGCTGGGGCAATCATTGTCATTGTCATTGTCCTTGTCGTTCTGCTTGAAGCCCGGCTGGCCAGTGGATTCGCGCCACGTGGCGGGGAAGGTGAGCAGCACGGAGCTGTTGCTGCGGCTGGTGATGGTGGCGTTGGCGGGGGGTGTCTGGTCAGGGAGCTGGTTGACAGTCAGAATGTAGAGCACGTTGAAAGCACCGCCCGTGGTGCTGGTTGGGAGGGGGTGGGGAGGGATATATTTGAGTCAACTCAACAGTCACCGCTTTGGCCGGGGGCGTCTGCTGGTGGGGGGAGTCTGCTCGGGGAGTAGCTTAACCGAGGGCATGTAGAGGAAGTTCAAGGCACCACCGGTGGTGCTGGTAGCGGGGGGATGGGTGGTAGGAAGGGGAAGTAGTTAAAGGAAGGGGGGATGAGAATAGGGAGAAGCATGAGGCATGAGACAAGGTTTGGGGAGCGGACAACACTTACCCAGCAAGACCCTCTCACTCCTAATAAAGGCTTGAAGGAAAAGCTCTTTACATAGCGGTTAGATCTTTTCACTCCGGCAACTGACCAAGACAGGTGGAAGAAACCTGAAATTGCTCAAATTACCGGAAGGTTCTCCGAGGTGACTAAAAAAAACACCTGAGATCACTTGTTACCGGAAGGCGATGACGTGGATCTCCCCTTCGATGTCATCATTGTTCTGACCTTCCAGCTCAGCCTCTAGATGGGCTGACACGTGGCACACAACGATTGGCGCGAGTAGCAGAGGGTGCAACGGATAAACATGCAGCAGAGGCAGAAGGAAAACACGAGAGGAGAAAGAGGACAGGGCAAAACTAAGGAAGTGGTATAAGGGTGAGTGACAGAGGAAAGAGTACGATGGAAGAAACAACCAAACAGGAAAGATGGAGTGGCGCATGAGCTACGAAGCAGGTAAAAAAAAGAACAACGTAAAGCAAAAGCGAGGAAAAGTAGCAATGAGGAGAGGCAGCGTCCTTACCATAGAGATCCCCTAGGTCAGCTCCGCCCGGCCCTCCACCCTGCCCCTGCTGCAGCATTCGTGGAAGCTTCTTTTTGTTCTTGTCTGCCGCTCCTCCTGGACCCCCCGGCCTGCCTTCCACTGCTGCCTCAGGTCCCCCAAGCCCCCCCCCTGCTGCTGGCACAGGCCCCGCGCCCCCAGGGCCTCCCCCTCCTGCTGCCCCACTTCCTGCTGGTCCTCCTCCCCCTGGTGCAGCGCTCCCCCCTGGCACTGCGCCTCCCCCTGGCGCTGCGCCTCCCTCTGGGGCTGCGCCTCCCCCTGGGGCTGCGCCTCCCCCTGGTGCTGCGCCTCCCCCTGGTGCTGCGCCTCCCCCTGGCGCTGTGCCCCCCCCTGGCGCTGCGGCCCCCCCTGGCGCTGCGCCTCCCCCTGGTACTGCCCCCCCCCCTGGTGCTGCGCCCCCCCCTGGAGCTGCGCCTCCCCCTGGAACTGCGCCTCCCCCTGGCGCTGCACCTCCCCCTGGTGCTGCGCCTCCCCCAGTTGCTGCGCCTCCCCCTGGTGCTGCGCCTCCCCCTGGTGCTGCGCCTCCCCCAGTTGCTGCGCCTCCCCCTGCTGGTACCGGCACTCCCCCTGCTGCTCCTCCGGCAGGCCCTCCTCCCCCTGCCGCCCCACCCCCCCCTGCTCCTGGAAGAGGGCCGGGTGGGGTGGGCTGCTGGGCGCACGCGGATGCTGGCATTGGCAGGGAGGGGAAGGGGGAAAGTGAGCCGAGAGGGAAGGAGGGAAAGGGGGAAAGGGGGAGAGGGGGAAAGAGGCAGAGAGGGAAAGAGGCAGAGAGGAGGTTGAAACAGGAAGAACGGATGGTGAGCAGAGAAGCACTACAAAGGCTTGGTGCATCAAAAAGAGAGTGTTCGCAGAAAAAGTGAAGCGACACAGGAAGGATCACGTAGCACGGAGGCCAACGGGGGCTAAACAGACAAAACATTCAGATGTGACTTTTGAGTCGACTCAAAAGGCGCACAGCGGCCAATGGGGGCTTTCCAGACAACCACTCAGGCGAGCAGAGCAATGAAAGAGCGCAACGGTGTGCAAGAATAGATCCATTCAAGGTAATCAACACCTGAGTCGAGAACTGGTTACAATAAGGACGAGACAGTAGCCACCAAACGCAAGAAAGCACTTACACAAAGCGCAGAACACGACGAGGAGGGTGAGGAAGCCCATGGCGCGCTCCTTCCCGCCTTAAACGGACAACAGGCGAATCCTAGCAGACGGTGGCACGGCCGATGGTGGGACAACCGATGGCCGGCACACACGAGCACGCGGTGAGACGAGCAAGTAGCAGCCTGGTTGATACACTGCGGAAGGTTAAGATTCGGGCAGCGACAGACCTCTGACAAGGACTGGCGACGAGCAGTGCAGACCACTTGGATGTGAGAAGCCAGAAACTCTATAATATAGTGGAAGCGATTCGACGAGGCGAGTCGATAAAGAAGAGGGGGAAAAATCACTTGGAGATCAGCAGGGGGGGAACCTCGGGAGACGATGGAGTAGACTGAAGCGACCTCGGGGGGTGTTAAAGGCGGTTGATACCTTCAGTCAGGCGCCTCCAAGTCGACACGATGCATACCGCGGGGAGCGGTATCGTTAAGTCGTGCCACTTGATACCAGCCTCGTATTCCTACGAGCCTCGTTCTAGGTAGCCAGGATAATTCCTGCGGCGCCTCAAGAAAACAACGCCTAGAGATCCCACGCCATACCAGCTCGCAATCGTACGAGCCTCGTACTAGCCTCGAGTTCTTACGACCCTCGTACAAGGTAGCCGGGAATCTAGAGCCTGGCTCGGAGCGCTTTGAATGGACGGACACCTTCGGGAAACTGCGGATTTCGCGGCTTGATTGACGCTGTTTCTCGCAGCATGGCGGAACTGCATTTTCACAAACGCAGTCGGTCGAACCTGGGCCAAGCTGGACCCGAGGCGAACCAGACGTGCCCCCATTCCCCACCGCATATTCCCTAGCATACCGCATTGCATCGCCCGACGCCTTGGCGACATCGGCAGCATGAGGTTTCCTCTTGAAGCCAATCGCGACAATTACAATGGCGTAGTGGGTGCCGGTTTCCATGGAGGTATCGGCTGCTGTCACTACTGGCGGCCATGCACGAAAACGGGCCTGGTGAAAGTCGACACGAGTTCGGGCTCGAGTTCGGCTCCCCGATATCAGCGGGAGGCGTATCGGGAGTTCCAGCCCCGCAAATCTGCTGCTGGAATTCTCCTGAAATAATATGTGCATCTCCAGAGCCAGAATCTCCGGTTCGGCCAGTTCTAGGCGAGAATTCTTCCGGGGAGGTCTGAGAGGTTAGATTATCCTCGGCGGCAGTATCATTGCAATGAAAATTGTAAGGAATGTTCCATTCCTTACCGAGCGGTACTGCTATCGCGTACGCTCGAACACACCCGAAGCCTCGGGACTGTTCCAGACCTCCTGACAGAACCACCTCGGCTTCTCCAGACCTGCTCGTTCGACCTTCGAGGATTCTCCAGGCCTCGCTGCGTCACTTCGAGACCCTTCGATCTCCTTTTCGAACCTTACCATCGCATGGTTCGACTAGCTCTGGTGTTCCTATATCTTGGCTTGCCATTCCTTTTTATCGTCATTCATTGAGTGAACACTTCGTTATTCATTTCCGCGCTACTCTGCTTGTTCATTCATAACACCTGGTAATCAGAGCCACTTTCCTCGCTCACCCGTTTTCGAGAGTTGATTTTTTATTTTTATTTTTTTGGGGGGGGGGGGGGGGGGGGGGGGGGCAAGTCCCTCACGTAAGCTGCAAAGCGGTTGCTCGCGAATTAGACTAATTAATTCGCCCAACTACGATAGCGTTTGCGCTTACGTGAGTACGGGCGATTACGGATTTCCCCCTGCCCCGGCAGAGCATTCGCCAAATGGACCAAGCTCAGTTCAACGAGCTCCGGGAGCAGTTCAACGCCATGAACACACGCATCGCTACAGTGCTGGAGGACAACGAGCGACTTCGTGCGGAAGTTGTTGAGTTACGCCAGGCGCGAGAGGATTCGCGCACAAATCTACCGCCCAAGAGGAGGTCGCCAGCACCGGACGTGTCGAAACCGTTTTGGACGAAATCGCACGTCAGGTGTCACAGGAGCGCAAGGACAGTGAAGCTGCCACAGCAGCTGACGTGGCAGCACGAGCAGCAGCAACAGCAGCGACAGCAGCAGCCGCTCGGTCAGAGGCAGCCGCTACTGTAGCCGCACCAGCGTTTATGCCGATCGTGACGACAGCGACGATCAAACCGACCATGCCGCCCCCGTTCAACCCCACAGATAAGAATACTACTGTTACGGGCTGGTTATTTTCGGCGGAACTTTATTTTAATGCCGCGGGGATCACTGCTGACAAGTTAAAAACTCGACTGGCTGTATCACTACTGCGGGGACCTGCGCTGGATTGGTGGCGATATACTCTACAGGAGGGGGAGCTTTCGGCAGGCGACACACAGGAGTTTTTCGAAAACTTTGGGTCTGCTGCCGAAAAGGTCAACCGCGATTTTTGGATCGACCAAGATTCGCACGTGGAAGGCGTGGGGTACAGCTCTGCGTGAACGGTTCGAGCCAATATCTGCATCGGACAACGTGCGCACGAAGCTGGACAACTGGCGCCAGTGGAGTGCTGTCCAGGATTACGCGTCGGTCTTCATGGCGTTATGCGATCAAATCACTGATATGCATGACTCCGAGAAGAAAGCTCGATTCATTTCGGGTTTGAAGCAGGACATTAAATTGGAGGTCCGATTGCGACTTCCGGCGACGTTTCACGAAGCTGTCTGGATCGCAGATAATTTCGACGCACATCGGACGTATGCGAGAGCGGGTTCCCGGGAGGGAAATCGTTTTCGTGGCCAGAATCCACGGCCCACGATTCACGGCGTAGTGGCGAAGGAGCACATGGAAGATTTTCGCAAGGGACAATGTTTCAACTGCCACCAGCCGGGTCACCAATCTCACGATTGCCCCCGAAAGAAGCAGATAAAGAAGAACGACGAAGGCGAGTCGGGAAACGCCAAGCGTCAGTAGCGGTCGGGCCCCCTACTGACCCTGCCTCATCGCCCGAAAAACAACATCCCCACCGAGTAGTGGTTCCGATACATGCTATCAACCGCTCCCGGCTGAAAAAGGAGGATGACCCAGTGGACCACCTTGTACTGGCGAAAGGACGACTTTATGGAAGAAAAATAAAAATATTCATCGACGGAGGTGCGAGTCACAGCCTGATAAATCGAGAAACAGCACGACGACTACACCTGACGCTGGAGCGGTGTCTACCCGAAATCGATGCGCGATTGGTGGACGGCACCCCGCTGGCGATACGCGACAAAGTACCTGTCGTTTGAATGAAGTGTGGCGAAGATTTCGGTTTCAGCGCGCCGATGCTGGCGACAACGCTCGACGGCTACGACGTGCTATTGGGACGCGATTGGCTGCGACGATTCAACCCGCAGATTGATTGGACAACTGGCGAGTGCACAGTGAAGTGCGACAAAGGCTTGCAGAAATTACCTACGTGGCCGGAAGCACAGACAACGTCGACACGAGTCAACGCGGTGTGCCTCAACCGAGCGATCAAGAATGGAGCGAATTTGTACGCCGTCCATCGAACCGAATCGACGGAGCAAAACGAGGCAACCGACATCAACAAACTCTGCGATTCGGTCCCGGATGACTTGGCGAAAATCATTCGGGAATATCCTGAGATTTTCCCGGACGACTTGCCCAGTGGACTGCCACCCGAACGACCCCAGGACCACAAAATCGAGCTGGAGCCCGATGCGCAGCCTACTGTACGCACGCAATGGCGCCTGACTCAGCCGGAACTACAGGAGTTACGAAACCAGCTGGACTACCTACTGGCAAAAGGGTTCATTCGGCCAAGCATTTCACCATTCGCAGCATCGATCCTATTCACGCCAAAAAAGGACGGCGGACTTCGCATGTGTACGGATTATCGTGCCCTTAATCGGGTAACGATTAAATCGCGCTACCCAATACCACGCATGGACGAACTGATCGACAACCTTCGCGGAGCTCGCTATTTTTTGAAAATCGACCTTCGTGGCGGTTACCATCAAATTCGAGTGTTCGCTGACGACTGCCACAAGACCGCGTTTCGTACTCGCTATGGGAGTTACGAATACACGGTGATGCCGTTTGGATTAACGAACGCCCCCTCGACGTTCCAACTCACCATGAACGGGGTGTTCCGCGATCTACTCGACAAATGCGTGATCATTTACTTGGACGACATCTTGATCTACAGCAAGACCCGGGAGCAGCATTTAAAAGATTTGGAAGCGGTTTTTCAGCGGTTGCAGCAGCATCGCCTCATCACCAAGGGCTCCAAGTGCGAGTTTTTAAAACAAGAACTGGAGTTCCTGGGGCACGTGATCTCCACGGAAGGGATTCGAATAGACCCGAAAAAACTCAGGGCTATTCAGGAGTGGAAACCGCCAACAGATCTGCAGCAGCTGCAATCATTTTTGGGTTTCGTGAATTACATGAGGCGGTTTATATCCAACATGGCGGGGTTAACTGGACCTCTAACCGACCTACTGCAGAAGGGAACTTTTTACGAGTGGGAGGAGAAGCAGCAAGCTGCGTTCGAGGCATTAAAAAAACTTTTAATGTCGCCACCGGTACTTCGCATCGCTGACCCCGAACGGCCCTTCGAAGTCATCACCGACGCAAGTGACATCGCCGTTGGCGCAGTGCTCATGCAGGATTTCGGCAATGGGCTTCAACCAATCGCGTACGAGTCTCAGAAAATGCAATCTGCTGAGCGCAACTATCCAGTACACGACAAGGAGATGCTGGCGATCGTCCACGCGTTCAAAATCTGGAGGTGCTACCTGATTGGAGCAGACGTGACGGTGCGAACTGATCACAAATCACTACAGTACCTGAGGGCGCAGCCGAATCTCAACCCGCAGCAGATACGCTGGCTGGACTATCTAGAGTCCAACTTCACGTACAAAATCACGTACAAAAAAGGCGCCAACAATATTGCCCTCTCCAGACCATCTGCCCAACTCGTAGCAGTACTAGTCGCCCAGAGCAACCCGCTACTGAGTGGACTATTTACCCACGGGTATTCAACTGACCCCTTTTTTCGTAAATGACGGCCATCTCCCAATCACTATACGGAAAGACGTCTATTACTTACGAAGCGGGATTGATCGAATTTGGGTCCCAAGTTATCGTCTACTTCGCGAATTACTAATTCAAGAAGTCCATGATTCGAATTTATCGGGACATTTCGGGGTTGATAAAACGTTGAAGGCGTTGCAGTGGTTTTATTACTGGCCAGATATGGTGACGGACGTGCAGCGTTACGTGGCCGCGTGTCCGATCTGCCAGCGAATAAAATCATCACACCAGCGACCTACAGGACTGTTGCAGCCCCTCGAGCCACCTCAACGCCCATGGCAACACGTAACGATTGATTTCGTTACGGGATTACCGGCCGGACCTAGCGGAAATGACGCAGTTTTGGTTGTCGTCGACCGATTGACGAAAATGGCGCATTTCGCACCATGTCGTACAACCATCACAGCCGAAGAAACAGCTGCCTGTTCATCTCGACCGTCGTTCGCCTACACGGGATACCAGCAGCAATCATTAGCGATCGAGATCCGAAGTTCACGTCAAAATTCTGGCAGGACACATAGGCTCGATACGGCACGCGTCAACAATTCTCATCCGCTTATCATCCTCAAACGGACAGCCAGACGGAAAGGACAAATCAAACGATGGAGCAGCTAATTCGGACAAACTGCCCCGACCGGAACAAATGGGAGGACGTGCTGCCCATGTTGGAATTTTCCTACAACAACGCGCCCTCATCTACGACTAATCACTCCCCGTTTTTTCTCAATTACGGGATGGACCCTACAGTGCCGATCTCCACCAATGTTGAGAGTCAAGTACTAGTATCGCAGCAGTTCGTCGAAGAATTATACACTGCCCGAGACAAAGCTGTCGAACTTATCCGCAAGGCGAACGCTACTGCCCGACGGTATGTGGATTTACATCGACGGGATATTACAATGGCAACAGGGCAACTAGTCCTTTTGAACACCAAGAATTTACGACTGCCACTACCGATGAAATTACGACCACGTTTCTGTGGCCCATTCAAGATCGTGAAGATGGTGACGCCGGTGACCGCCCAGTTACGCCTGCCTGATG